ATCCAAGGAAAATGAAGTTGTTGACTACGCCAGTCTTTTCTCCTCTTGTGATGATGTTGCCTACTGGTACTGGTGAGGTACTTTAGGTAGGAAATGGCAATTGAGAATGAGGGGAGCGGTCCAGCCTTCTTGGGTTCCAGAAATCTTTCGTATCTTGGTCTGAGAGATGGGTAAGTGGATGTGAGCATATGTAAACATTCCTGAAGATGCGTGCACTTCATTGCCTCTACGCTATGGCTCCTGAAAAGCAAAAGATAAGGAACAATACAGTCCTAGCTGGGGAGATTGCGGATTCATTTCCTGACTACCAACATAAGGCGATTATCACCCTCAAGGGAATCACACCACTTCCCCCCTATTTCCTAGTGCAAGCAACAATGATGTGTATGCTATACTACAGCATATTAAGGAAGGCCTAGTGGCATCCTGCGTAACGCATCGGGCTGCGACTGAAAAGACGCACTTCTAATGCACCAGCTGCTCTGAGGGAGAAAGCTAAGCAGGCTCCTCTTTGGTTTTTTTTTTGTTTGTTTGTTTTTTTAAATGTGTGTACCATCAAATCAGATCTGACTGGTACAGGAGGAGATTGTCCCTCCTTCTCCAGCAGAGCATCTGGTGGATTCGAACCTCACATCTCTGGGATTGCAGTGCAGCTTCCTGCCACTAGGCTACCAGAGCTCGCCAATATTCTTCTTTTTTTAAGTTTTATTTTATTTTATTATTTTGTGTGTGTACCGTCAAATCAGATCTGACTGGTACAGGAGGAGATTGCCCCTCCTTCTCCGGCAGAGCACCTGGTGGATTCGAGCCGCATATCTCTGGGATTACAGTGCAGCTTCTTGCCACTAGGCCACCAGAGCTCCTCTTAGATGTACAGTCGTGGAAACCCAGCAGAAGGTCTCTAGGAGTAATGACAGACACAGTGGGTTTGATTTTTGGGGGGTCGTGTGCTATGTATGTAATTACAACATGGGAAAATTTTGAAATGTTATGAGAATGACCAAAATGTGGCACAGAGATGGGAAGTGAGTACACGCTGGCGTAAAAATGGCGCTGATCCACTGGCCTGATGTCTGGTTGCCAAAGACCCTCATTCAGTGGAAGAGACAGTATCTGCAAAGTGCACTGAAGTCAAGTGCGGCTGAGCAGAGCTTGCCTGTAATCGTAACAACAAAGGCGTCCTGTCACTCTTACCACCAATGTCCTTCTCACCTTGGGCTCTCCTTCCCTCTGTCTGAGGGTTCCTCTTCCCCACTCTCCTCCCTTTCCCCCAGGACACAGCTGCAGATTCTGCACATCCCCCGAGCCCCTTTGAGAGTCTGAGCCCCTGGTGGCAGCTCTTGTGTCAGGCAGTCTTCCAAAACTTCCCGTAATTTTTTTGCTAACCTTCTCTCCTAACAAACAGTATGTCTTTTTCTATCCATTGCACTGTCCTGACGCCCTGTTGAGCTTTAGCTGATCCTTTGAGCTTCAGATGACTTTTCTCCTTTCTGAGAAAACCCTCTGATACACAACTTACATTCGAGTTTTCGTTAAATGCTAAAAAAGTGTTCTTTTATTGTTTCTTCACAACTAACAATTAAGTAGTTGAAACTATGATTCATGACGCTTAATTACTCTCTTCACAGGACAGTCTTCAAATATGGACTGCCAAAACCCCAGACATGTCTGGGGAAATTACAGCACGATTTCTCTTTCTAACTTGGGGCATGTTGCTAGGAGAGGCTATTCCTTGGAGAGCTATCATGCTTGGACAGGTGGAGGGTCAGTGAAAGAAGGGAAGACTCACAGCAAGATGGACTGATATGGTGACTGCAGCAGTGGGCTCGCAGCACGTGTGTCAGACATGAGGATAGCACAAGATGGAACAGGGTTCGTTCAGATCTGGTTTTCATAGGGTCGCTGTCAGTCCTACTGAACAGAATGGCACCTGACAACAAGAGTTAACAACAGCAGAACAGAACTGTCCCTACGGTTCCTCAGGCAGAGATCTTTATGGAAGGCGACTGGCTGCATTTCTCTTTTTTTTTTCCCCTCTTTTTTTTTTTCTTTCTAACCTGGTGGATTAGAACTGCTGACCTTTTGATTAGTATGAGTAGCTGAATGTTTAGCCACGGCACCACCAGGGCTCCTTATAGCAATAGCAAACTGTCTCTTGTCGAATTTGTTTCAGCCCAGTGACCTGGGCTTCTGAGGACGCACATCTTACTATAAATACAAAGAGACTGTCCACCTTTTTCTCTAGGAGCCGGGTGGATTCAAACTGCTGGAGATGGGAAGACTTTGTGTGTGTGTGTGTGTGTGTGTGTAGCAGCCCAGCACCCTCTGCCACCAGGCTGATGTTACAAAGCAATAGAGACTTATTTATGCATGTGTTGGTAAGACTGGAGACCCAGGATAGGCCTTTGTGTAGTGATGGCTCCTAGAATCACACTGCTCTATGGGGACACCGGGGCCAGGACTAGACTGAGACTATTACACCCTCAGAGGCAGGCAGCGGCTTCCCTGCAGGGCGCCTATTCTTAACACCTGCAGTTGACTGCCGAATCCTGGACCACCACTGCCCCCTATTGCCTATTGATCTTGGAAGAAAGAATTCCTTTCTCTTGCCCAGAGCTTTCACCAGATGTGTTGTGATTTGATTCTGACAAGCTCAAGAGCTAAGCAAGGCATCATCCCCCTTTTACAGCTAAGGAAATCAAAGCTTGGAGAGGTGAAGGATAATTAAGGCTACAGGGCTGGGTGCAAAAGTGGGCTAGCAAGTTCAGTTCAGGTGGGACAGAGGATTAACATATGTGTCTGCTCCCTGAAAGGTTGGCGCAGATACAGTCTACCTAGAAGTGCCTTGGAAGAAAGTCCTGGCAATCCACATCCTCAAAGTCTGCCCTTGAGAAGCCGATGGAACACAGTTCTGCTCTGGCACAGGGGGAGTCATCAAGACTAAAAATGACTTGTCAGGAGCTGGGAACTTGAGTCAGGCTTTGGTGGTCTTGTGCTCAAGCCTGAGGGTACAGCGTTCACACACCAAGATGGGAGCCTTGTGAGGACTCGCTCAAGAACTAACTGTACTTGAACTCTAGTGGCCTAGTGGCAAGAAGCTGCACTGCAATCCCAAAGCTCTAACCGTACTTCACGAGGATTAAGGCTCTAGGCCATGTAGGAACTAACCTGCGTTGGGAGCACAGAAGAAGGGGCTGCTTGTGGGCAGAAGGATGTGAAGACCTTTTTCAGGGAGGAGTTGAGATTTGAGGGGTGGGGAGGAGTCTGCCAGGAGACAAATGGAGGAAAAGGCTATCCTAGCACCTGGTAAATGCTGACAGGGTCTCATCAGGCAGTAAGCCTCCTGAGAGTCAGGAGGGTTCTCATTTTGATGGATTTGGTTAAGGATTTTTCAGATGTGGTATTATGTACACACAGTAAGATAAAGGCCATTAGTGTTAAGTGTGTTGTTAGGTGCCACTGAGTTGGCTTCAAATATACACAACACGGTGGAACTCTGCTGGGCCCGGGTCATCCTCACAATGACTGTTATGTTTAAGTCCATTGTTGGGGACAGTGCAAAGTCATCTCAGTGAGGGGCTTGCTCCTTATTGCTCCTCTATTATCCAAGCACGATGTCCTTCCCCGAAGACTGGCCCCTTGTGGTAACATGCCCACAGTACAGAAGATGAAATATCTTCCTTTCTTCTAATGAGCACAGTGTCACTTCTTCCAAAGCATATATTCATGATTTTGCACTTTAGGATGTATTTGGCATTCTTTACTAACTCCGTAATTAAGAAAAAAACATCAATTCTTCTGTGGTCTCCCTAATTCATTGCCCAGAGTTTGCATACAGATGAAGTAACAGAAAACACTACAGGGTGGGTCAGGTGTAGCTTAGTCCACAAAGTGACTTTTTAAAAAAAAACTAATCAAAGACCTTTCAAGAGGTTCTTTGCAACACATTTGGCCCAAGTGAGACATCACATCGTTTGATCTCTTGGCTGCCATTCCCATGGATGCTGATTGTTCCAAGTAAAAGGAAATCTTGGATAACATCACTCTTCTGCTTTTATCATGATGCTGTTTACTAGCCCGTGTGGGCTACTTTTTGTTTTCTTTATGTTGTAGTGTAAACCTTACTGAAGGCTGCCTGGGAGCTGCAGCATTAAATGCTTCAACTTTTCCTTACAACAAGCAAAGTTGTGTCACCTGCATGCCGCTGGTTGATAACGAGTCTTTTTCTCAAATTCTGATGCCATGTTCTTCATATAGTCTCAGATTACTTGCTCAGCATACAGACTGAAGCATTTTTCGCTGACACGTATAAATATACATGTACCTACCACCCAGTTGAATTTATAAACTGTTTCCAGAAAACCAAGAGGTTTCCAGTCTGTACCTGCCTTTAACCTCCCCTCACCGCAGAGAAAACAATTTGTGGGGAATGAGAGGTTTGCAATATAAAACCTCAAAGTCCTGCAATCCCGGAGGTATGGGGTTCAAATCTACCAAATGCTCTGCTGGAGAAGGAGGGGCGATCTCCTCCTGTACCAGTCAGATCTGATTTGACGGTACACTCAAAAAAATAATAAAATTAAAAAAAAAACAAAAAAAACCCCCCCCCCCCAAAAAAAAACCTCAAAGCCCTTGGTCTCAATCTCAATCTCACTTTCTATTCTCTCTACGCCTACTGCCACCTCTATACATCTCGTGATTTATTATTTTATATTATTATTATTAATTATGCTTTGCATCATCTTACAGGGACACCGCAGGGTGCAGGGAAGGCTTGTCAGCACCATGTAATCTCGTGCGTCCCCCGCGATAGTTTAAAAGACGGGGATGGCGGGTTTTGGTCCTTCGGAGCCGCCGTCCGGGGCCGGGCGGTGCGGAGCTGTCTTGTCCCTCGGCGGCCGCCGTGCATCCGTTACGTGGCAGCCGCGAGCGCCGGCCAATCCGCGCTGCCCGCATCAGCCCCCGCGGGTGGCGCAGCCGGAAGGGGCGGAGCCGAGACGGCGGCGGCTGGGGCGGCAGCTGTGGCGGCGGCGGCGGCTCAGGAGGCCGCACTCCCGGTTGTGGCCTCGGCCCCGGCCCCACCATGGTGACCCTCGCCGAGCTGCTGGTGCTTCTGGCCGCGCTGCTGGCCACGGCCTCGGGCTATTTCGTCAGCATCGACGCGCACGCGGAGGAGTGCTTCTACGAGCGGGTCACCTCGGGCACCAAGATGGGCCTCATCTTCGAGGTGGCCGAGGGCGGCTTCCTGGACATCGACGTGGAGGTGCGGGCGCGCGGCCCCGGCGGGATTCCGCAGGCCGCGTGGGGGGGTGGGGTGGTCGGGGCTCGGCCGGGGCCTGCGGGTGGGGGGCGATCGGCGCCCCGAGGCCGCTGTCCGGTCCTGGGAGGGGCGCGCGCCGGGCGCCCCTAACGTCCCCTTCCCCGGACGTCCGCTGCCCGTCCACTCTCTGCCGGCCGCGTGTCCGCTCGTGGCGATCGCCGGCCTCCCACGGAGGGTGGGAGGTGGCGGGAGTGGCCGGGGAGCCCCACGCCTGTCCCCCCGGCCCGGCGAGGACGAGGGAGCCCTCGCTCCCGTGCGATCCCCGCGAGCGCCCCCGAGTCTACATCGGGAGGCCGTCAATCAGGCTGCCGTAAGTCAGGCCGCCGCCGTAAATCGGGCCCCGGCGGCTGACTTCGAACCTGCAGTGTCGTGGTGGGCAGCAGAACGCCTTCACCGCCGCGCCACCAGCGCCCCTGTGTTAGAATTAGTTGCGATGAGTCCCCATGGAGTCAGATCCGACGCACAGCTGACCCTTGGGCGGGTGTCCACGGCTGTAGGTCGCAGGGCAGGGTTGGCCCATCTGTCTGTCTGGGGTCCACTGGTGGGTTCGAACCCCCAACTTTTAAGCTTATGGGTTAGGCGAGCATCGCCGCAATGCACTGGGTCCCCGAAGCTCCCTTTAGATCTCAGAGAGCCCGCTCTTGCAGTCGCTTTAGGACAGAAAATGACCTCTCAGCTGACTGTCAGGCCAGGGATGCGAACTCCTAACTTCAGAAATCCAGATTCCATCACTGACACTGAAAAAAAAAAAAAAACCACCCCAAAAAAACCCAACAAAAACCACAAAAATGTACTAGATGGAAACGATAGGCTTTAGGGAGACGTCTTTGTTTTGATAATTGTCAATCACTTGTCTGCTTGTGTGTTGTAGTTGGTACCACGGGTAACGGGTGACATTTTTCCAGAGGGGTTTGCTTTTTAGTACTGTGACTGGTTGGAGCCCACCTTTGCTTCCTGCAGCCCTCAGAAGTAACCGTCACTTCCTGCGGTGGTTTGAAGTGAACATTGCGTCGTTTCCCCACTCTGGTAGACACTGTGCAGGACGCTGTGGATTGGAATAGGTTGGTGGCACCTCATCTGTTTCTGTCCTGCCCCCAGATCACAGGGCCTGACAATAAAGGGATCTATAAAGGCGACCGAGAGTCCAGTGGGAAGTACACCTTTGCCGCTCACATGGATGGAGTGTACAAGTTTTGTTTTAGCAACCGGATGTCCACCATGACTCCAAAGATAGTGATGTTCACCATTGATATTGGGGAGGCGCCCAAAGGACAAGACATGGAAACAGAAGGTGAGGCGAATTGAGAAGATTGATCACAGTCCCCGAGCTCATTTCCATCTGTACTTTTAAAAGATCCATCTCAATGAACTATTTATTTTAGTTTCTCATTCCAGTTTAAATTCGACCATTTTGTAAAAATCCATCTGGATGAAAGACTTACTTTGATTTCTTTTTTTAAATTTTATTTTTGATTTTAATGAAAGTTTACAGAGACTTTGGGTTTCCATTCATTCATTGTTGCACTTTTCTCCCTGCTCACCCCTTCCCCCCCAGTTCGCTCTTCTTACTTTGATTTCTTATTCCCAGGTTTATTCACAGAACTTAAAACCAAAAAGCCATTTTGAAATGTCCTTTGTATTTGTCCAAATCTTGTCATTAACAGCAACAAAACTTTCCTTAACTGGATGTTTATCTTCTCATTCCGATGCCTGCCCCTCTGGCCGCTCCTCCTCTTGGCTGGCACATAGGTTACATGTGTTAGGATGGTGGCTTCTTAACTTGATTCTTTCGAACGTAGACTACATTAGTTTTGCTAAACTTTTTGTTGGTTTCTTTTTTGTGTGTGTGTTTATATCTTAAACATTTCTTTAGGTGGTGGAGACAGCTGGGATGGTATGTGGACAATTTTTTGACTGCATTTGCCTTTTTTTGCCTGTGTTTCTGGACTAATGTCTAATTTCTGCTTTTCTTTTTTCCTAACCTTTTGTTAGCATGAGAATGATTTTCCTCTTGAAAAGACAAAAACGCCAAACCCTAGAACTAATTAAGACTGGTTACCTTTGAGGTATTTTTAATCGGTAGACAAGAGACAGGTAATTAGATAATAGTGCTGGGCACCTGGTGATTGGCCTTTTAGAAGTAGGGTATTAATTTGTTTCTTTAAAATGTAGAAAACATCAACTATCAATGGACAAACAGAAACGTTACACAAAGCTTGTAGAAATAATAAGCTATAGACATTGTACCCTATTTGGTAGGCTTGCGTTACTGTTATAAAAGTGTTTGAACTTGTAGTTGTAGGAGCTATGGTGATAAAAGTACTTTCAGCCATATGTTGCGGTGAGAGTAAATTTTATTGCTCAGCTGGTGAGCCTGATATTTTATCTTCTGAGCAGATTATGTCCCCGGAGCCCGCACAGCCCATTCGCTGCTGTGCATGGCAGGAATGTTGGAAGTGAGCCTTTGTTAGGGGACATCTGGTGGTCCCGTCCACAGGTAGTTACGCTGCTGACCCACTGGCTGTGCCGCCTTTGGGGTTAGAACCCACCAGCGGCCCCATGGAGAAAGGAGAGAAGTCTCCTCCTGTGCCGTTTACAGCCCGAGAAACCTGGCTGTGCATGCCTCCGGCTGCCCATGATGAGTTGGGTTTCTGAGCATTTGTTCACCACTTTGCGTTAGTAGCATTTGTTCCAGAGATGAGCAGTTTAGTGTACTAACAGCATCCGTGAAATCAGAGTGAGTCTGACACCAGGCTCATAGGGTGTTCATGGGCTGAATTTCCACCAAGCCGACCCCCAGGCCCTTCTGCTGAGGTGACACTGGGTACACTTGAACCTACAACCTTTTGACTTGAGGTGAGCGTCGTAACTGCACTGCCTAGAAACCTCCTCAGAGTGTAGAGACAGGAGACTGGTTTGCTGAGTTGTGAAATCTGGATGGAATTCAGAGACTCACAGGATTTAGTAGCTACTGTGCTCACTTCTCAAGGCTCTTACATCATAGGATGTGCCCGTTTTCAAGGAGAGTTGGGAATCCTTTCTTTTTAATTTTTATATTGTTTTAAAAATCCTCCTTTAACCTCTGCATATATAATAAGTGTGTGAGGAGAAAGCATCCAGTGCCCACTTAAAAGAGCTCTAACTACAGGCGCTCCAGGAGTCCTGAAAGGCTTTGTGTTTGTTTTGTGGGAATTGGCCTTATCTAGTTAGAAAATGTTGGCTCATAAACTTGACTCTTGAACTCTTAATCCTTTAACACAGTATCTAAAATACTTGCTTTTCTTGTCGATGTCATTGGCTGGCCGCTGTCAAATCCAGCTTTCCTCTAAAACTGGTTCTCATCTGGGGGCGGTTATATTTAGCATGCTCAGGACAGGGCTGGGGAGTTTGCTGCTGGCATCTGGTGGGTGGAGGCAGGGATGCTGTCCAACATCCCACGAGGCGCTGGACAGCTCCCAACAGAGTGGGATCTAGTCCAAAGTGCCTGCAGTGGGCTCACTCCTGAGAAACCCTGCCCTCGGGGGTTTGCGTTTTGCCTTCCAGCCTTAAAGCCTGGGTTGTTTGTGACCTCTCCAGAAGGAGCCTGGTGACAAAGCACTAAGCATTTGTCTACTGACTAAAAGGTCAGTGGTTTGAGTCCACCAGGCACTCGAGAAGAATGTAGAGCATTATTCTAGTGAAGACGGCCAGCCTGGGAACCTTGTGGGACAGTCCTCTGTCCTGTAGAATCTCTGTGAGTCAGAATTGACTCGGCAGGAGTGGCTTCCTTGAAGAAGTTGTGGATTGTCTTTAGCCATCTAGAATCCAGCCACGTCGCAGTTTCAGGCTCTAGTGAGGACTCCTCGCCCCTTCAGTGGGAGCTTCCCCTCTCCTGTTTCCTTCCTCTTCTGTCCACTTGCCTGGGGCCTGCGGATGGCTTTGCCTGTGTGGAGGCTCCGGGCTCTTAGCTCTCAGGCCTCACTGAGATTCCAGCTCTATTTGGGGCAGCTTTTAGATTAACTGAAGAGTTAGAGGAGTTTTAAGGATCAATTTTAGTTTTGCTTAAATGTTGCTATTTACCAGATCTCACTTCCACCCAGTCTTTTCTCCCCTCCTGCTCCCTCAGGCCGCCCCTTTTCTCTGCGTAGCCATCAGGGTGGTGGCCGTCACTCAGCAGCAGTGCAGTAGATGTGTCTTAGGACACACAGTTAGTTTTCTTTTCGTTACTGAGTTTATAAAGATGTTTCTCTGCTGTCATCCGTGGTCCAAAATGCCATTTCTGAAAGGGGGTTTTGCCTGCCTCCTCTGAGGCACAGATTTAATTTTGTAGATGTTTTCCACAAAACAACTGCTGAACACATGCTGATCTGTTTTCCGACTCTCCTGTAGCTCACCAGAACAAGCTAGAAGAAATGATTAACGAGCTAGCAGTGGCGATGACAGCTGTAAAGCATGAACAGGAGTACATGGAAGTTCGGGAGAGGATACACAGAGCAAGTGAGTATAAGCCATGACCTTGGGGCGCTCTGGTGGCCACGGAGTGCCCAGGGTTCTGTTACCCAAGAGCGTGTTGTATTGCTTACATCTGGAAATTGTGCAAACGTTGAAAGCATGAATCTTAACATGCTGTTGCAAATGATGGCAAAAAAACGTGTTTCTAAGCACGATCGTCAATGTAAAAGTGTGCGGCAGCGGCAATGTGTTAAAAAAGCCAGCAAAGCCTGATGGAAAACTGGACAAGGCATTGGTGGGGCCTGGTTTCTGTGTGGACGTCACTGACTTTGCGTGCTTGAAGACCGTTGAATTGTGTGGTTTCGCAGCAGTAGAGGAAACCGTGATAATCCTGAGCTGAAAGGAAGGACTTGGCAGAGCTGTCCTTTGACTTCATGAATGTCTGTGTTGCTTTGTAGTAGACCAGCTAATTACTCTAAAATTCCATCGAAACCCAAAAAATGCTATGAAGATTCAGAGCAAGCTTTAAGAGTTTTAAAAATGTGTGATCAGCGCATAGAGGAAGCTGATAGTTTTCCTAAAGCAGTAGGGGGCAACAAAATGGGGTTTGTGGGGTTTTTTTTAATAACATACTAAAACATGCCAGTGAAATTAGTAAGAGATGAAACATTCTTTATTTTCTTTAAGTCAGAAGTCTCAGGCTGTTTGGGATGGAAAACACCAAAACATGCATATTAGTTTCAGTGTTGCTCCTCCAGTCCGTTTGGCTAACTTGGAATGTGAGTACCTGGAATCCATGTTACATGCTTCTAATTAAGAGGTACCTAGAGCAGGAGTTTTGGTGAATCAAGAGTGTGCTCTGAAGCTGTGTTACAGGAGTGACTCAAGGACACATGCTGGGCTTCACTTCCTTTAGGTTGCGGTTTTGGCTCTCTCCCACCCTGGGTTTTGGGGCAAGACCTCACTTCTCTTGCACAGAAGGACATGTCTGCCCTACCTTTGTGGGGCCACAGGGAATGTGGCTTAAGGGGAGACTTGTGTGTCTCCTGCTCTGCAGCCTCTCCTCACCTGCGGAGATTCTCTGTCCCCTTCTCCTCTTGACCTGTGAGAAGAGCACAGAACCAAGCTTGGGGGCCAAGGGCGGTCATTGCGTGATGCCACTGGTTGGGACCTGGGCACAGCAGTGGCCAGTGGAAGCCCCTGCCTCCCTGTCTTCTCGTCTAGGGGGCTGGCCTTTTACTCCCACCTTCAGTTTGCCCCGAGAGCTCCTGTATTCATCTGTTTCACAGGTAGGGGCTTAGGACTTGGGTAAAAAGTCTTGGCTATTTACAGAATGCAGTGATCTCTTGCTCAGTTTCATTGTGCACATCAGATGGTGCCCTCAGTGCTGTTGTCGTTTTACGCCGTCTTCCTCCAGCACTCATCCTGCAGGGATGGACAGAGTGAGGTCTTTGTTTCCTACAGGGCTAGATATCTTGTCTTAAAGGCACAGTTCAGTACGTTGTGTTTAAGATGCCTTTTTTTTAAAGTGAGAAACACTTCTTTTTACATTAAAAAAGAAGAGATTATGTGGCATGTGATAGTTCTTAGCTATAATCTTCTATAATTGAAGGGGAAGAATTAACACATGGTCAGTTAGAAAATTTGGGAGAGACCAGAAAGTATGAGGAAAGAAGTAAAAGTCAATGTTAATCCACCATGTAAAGTAATCAGTGTTAGGTTTTAATCTGTCTCCCTGCCCCCACTGCTTTTAGTTGTTAGGACTTTTTTATATAACTGAGTAGTAATGTGTATCGTATTGTATATCTGGTCTTTCTCAAGTGACTAAGAACAGAATAGTTTAAAGCACCTTTTATTGCTTGCTTAATATTTTAAAGTATTTATTACCTAACCTTTGAGACATAATTTTAAAATGATAGACATGTACGAACATGCTTAAAATTGGCTAGTACATTTTCAGCACCACTTGGTGCTGCGGGATTGGTGCTAGAACATCATGGTTGTGGTAAATTTTGGAGTTGTAGTTAATGTTCTTGGGCTTATGGAAAAAGGCACAGCCTTAGAGTAAACTCTGTGCTGTCCTTTTGGAAACATTGTAATTGCTTGTCACTTGTTATTGAGTGACAGAGTCCTGTGGATGTACAGTTCTAGTTAGTCTCATACCTGGTTAACATTGTCACTGCTGCTAGCCACTGCCAAAGTTCAAATGCAAAGGCAGTGGGACTTGATTGAACAGTAAATGAAAGGCTCTCGAGTGAAGAATGAAATTCTTAGCTTGAGGGTGAGCTCAGTGGAGAGAGCAGTTCACGGTCTGTGTTGGATTGTCTGATAGGAACTAAAAAGTCGGCTGCCCCTCAGAGCAGGTGCCAGGAGGTCCTACACAGTGCTGACCAGCTGCTGAGGGACAGGACCCTTAGACATGTCCTGACCTTGTCTGCAGGGCTTTTTTGATCTCTCTGATCTCAGAACAATCCCCTAACTGTGTGTTTCAGGCCCTTTTCAGATTGAGTAGAGATAGTTATAATGCAGGAGCATTTTGGTGGTGGGGACAGAGGAGATTTGAACTGGGGTTTACCCCTCAGTTGGAGCGTGCATGCCTTTCCTTGTCTGGCCCCACATGCACACCTCATGGATGTCAGTCTGTAGGATCCATTCCAGATCTGAAGTACCCTGTGAGGTGTGTTGAGTTGCTGGGTACGTGAGTACACCGAGTGGTGGCTTAGAAGAGGGATTTCACCCGCCAGTCCCGAGGGGCTAACTCAGGATGCAGTGCTGTTTTTTCCAGTTGTTAAAATGTGTTTGCTTTTCCTCCACAGTCAACGACAACACAAACAGCAGAGTGGTCCTCTGGTCCTTCTTTGAAGCTCTGGTTCTTGTTGCCATGACCTTGGGACAGATCTACTACCTGAAGAGATTTTTTGAAGTCCGGAGGGTTGTTTAAAGAAGCCTTTTCTGATGATCCCAAACTCATAACTCACTGTTTACCAAACCTCCTGGTCACAGTAATGTCACTAGTTTCCACATGTTTATTTTCTGAACTTTTACCTTCACAGCTTCTGTTTGTTGGTGACTCGTAGATGTTGGGGGAAGACACCGTTGTAGGAAAGTGGGCATCTGATGGGCGTCACTTTTTTTTTTCTTTTGAATCCTGCCTCCCTGATACAGATCCTTGTTAGAAAGCTGACTCTAGAAATGAAAGATAGCAATGTAGTCCTTTTAATCTCTTCATTGTTTTTATAATAAGAGGCAGTTTGTTCCAGAAATGGGCACAAAGCCTGACAGGACCTTTCTAAGATGACCCCCTCTGGAACCCCTTCCTGCGACAAGGTCAGGATAGGTTCCTTCTGTTGATTTCGTAGAGCAGACAACAGTCTGAATGTTACTGTGTTCATCCAGGCCAGTGACAGGGCTCTACGGCTGTGCACCGCGCCACCGTGAGGCGGGACTTTCTTAGCCTTGTGATCTGACTTTATTTAAAGATTTGCCCAAACACACGCCAACCCTCTGCCCCCGAGTTTTTCCATTCAGCCTTAGGATTCAGTCACCTTTCACTGAAATTGATGACCAGCTGCTGGCTCACCACTCTGGGCTCTGCCTGCTCTGTCAGTCTCTGTTCTCTGAGCCCATGCTCTGAGTGTTTCAGCGAACGGTGGCTTTCTTGTTTCTTTCTCTGTTGGCATGTCACCTTCTCTACTCCTATACGCAGGAAGTGTGCTCTCATGTAATTGGAATAACCTAGATTTCTGATGCCAAAGGGTTCAAGCCCCTTGGATTTCTTGGTAAACAGCCACTATTTTCATCTTGTCAGTGGCATTTCAGGACGCTGTTTAATTAGGGTACTGGACGTCAGTGTCAGTTCGAGGGTTTGTGCTTTTGTTCCTCTGGGCTCTTTCATTTTCGGCACATGAGGATTTTGTTTTGTATACAATGCAGTGGTTTCTCTTGCTCTCTGATGATGGGTTCAAAATTAAAGGCACATCTGGCTTTGGTGCGGGCTGATCCAGGATTATGTTGTGACTGATGTCTGTTAGTTACTTGTACATTTTTTTTTGATCTTTGCAAGGGGAAAACGACAAGTAACGCGTTTTATATAATTAATTTAAATTTGTTAAAGGTTTTCATGTTCAGGATAAACAGTTTTTTCAACCTTGGGTGGAAATACTTGCAGCAGTTTTTTGCTAAGGGTGACCGTGTTTCACCTCGAGACAACTGTTGCATGCCACATTATTTTGTTTGTGAAAACATTTCAAAATTGAATTAACTGATACAAATTTAAAATTGGTTGTGTATCTACTATGCCCCAGGTTCGGTAAATAAACAATTATTTTTAAAAACCGTTTTTGTGTTCTGTGTCTTCTGTATCTGTGTTGTTACACACCAGCTTTCAGTTCATATTTGACAGACATGCTAGTGCTCCTTGGAGAAAGCATGCCCAGGAAACATGTCTGTACTTTGTGTATCTCTCCAACTGAGGATGAGATCTGCTGTGGCCTAGTGAGTAAGCAGTTGTGCTGCCAACCCAAAGGCACATTTCAACTGGGAAGAGAAACGTTGCACTCAGTCTCCTGGCTGGTGGATGTGGGAAGACCCTCAACAAGATGGATCAGCAGACAATGACTGCAGCCGTGAGCTCAAAGACACCAGACATTGGAGGATGACCCAGAACTGGGCAGTGTTCTGTGGTCCGTGGGTTCGCTGCTGGTGGGAGCTGACTCCACGGCAGCTAATGTCACCGCTGTCCACAAGGTGCTGCGATGTTCTAATGTGGTTCCCGGTGCTTTATGGGGCCTCATTTCCCTCCCCTTGGCATCCCCATCAGCCTCATGGTGCAGTGAGGAGACGTTGGAAAGGGACCAGAGGTGTTCACCCTGCTTTCTCCCTGGACTCTGCTGCTCCTGTTGTAGGAGACAGCTGTCAAAGGGGCCCCTAGCAGAAAATCTTGCTTTCATGTTTGAATCCTGACAGAACAGGAGTATCCTTCCGTTTGCTTATCCATTTATTTATTTTTTAAAATATACTGCATAATACATTTCTTTTGAGTTGGAACATAGTGTGCTACTAATAATGATTTAAATAACTTAGCCCAGAAGAATGTTTACAAAGTGTGAGTATCACTATCATTGCAAATAGTATTTTACATTTTTATTGCAGAAATTATCCTGGGGTGATCAATAAAAACTCCTTTGTAAATAATAATCTTAAATTACTTACCTCCACCCACAGTTGGCAGGTTATTTTGGAAAATCAATTAGAAATTAGAATCTCTCAAAGGAGAGGATTCTTTTATTTAGGAACTTGTTTGATTTGGTTTTTTAATTAAGCGGGGGTGACATCCACTTCCTAAATAACGTGCCTCCGGAAACCCTGTGAATTTTGAAAAATGTCGATGGTTGTGGAGGGGCTTCAGGCCTTTCGTTCGTTGTGCTTGACTCAGGCAGTGAACAGCAATAACAAGTCAAGCATGTGGTTATGCATACAGTGACACAAACTTAAGTCCAGCTCAGCTATCTATAGCTAGCTATATTTTGTGCGTGTACCGTCAAATCAGATCTGACTGGTACAGGAGGAGATTGCTCTTCCTTCTCCAGCAGAGCATCTGGTGGATTTGACCCGCATACTCTGGGATTGCAGTGCAGCTTCTTGCCACTAGGCCACCAGAGCTCCCTTATCTCTAGTATATTCTTTAGGTGTATTATGTAACCTCTCTTAGCCTCAGTCACTTAGGCTTTAAACATCTGAGCAGCCAGGGCTCCGAATTGGTTCATTCTGTTCAACCTTTTGCAGAGAATGTGCATTTTTATCCCCGAGAAATGGATCCAGAATCTACAGTTTAACAAAATCCTCAGGTAATTCTTAAGGATCATGTTTTTGAAATACAGATTCTAATGAAAAATATCTAGGGAGATATACTGTAATCCCAAAGGCGGATGGTTTGAATCTACCGACTCCTCAGCAGGAGAATGGGCTCTCTCGCATGTAATTTATTGCCTGGGAAAACCTGGCAGACAGTTTGCTAAAGGTTAGTTCCAACTAACACACAACAACGGGGTGGAAAGAGACGTTTAGTCTATGGCCATACCACCCTGAACGTGCCTGATCTCGTCTGCTCTTGGAAGCTATGCAGGGTGGGTCCTGGTTAGTACTCGGAAGGGAGAAAGAGCCATGTAAAGCTTTGAGCAATTGTTCTGTGCTATAGTTCTAGTCATTGAGACAAATTAGAAAGAAATATGCATCGTTATGGAAATGATCTTTTACTGTGGTGGTAGGGAGATATTTAAGCCTGCTAATGATTTAAGCCTGATGGGGCACCGAAATAGACATGTATTCTTTCAGTTACTGTTTTTGTTTGAGTTTCCAGAACTGATTGATTGCTGTCCAGTTGGAACCAATTCATAGCTGACCCTCCAGCGGGTTTTTAGAGATTGTAAACTGCACTGGTGCAGACTGTCCATCCTTCACCCCCAGGGCAGCTAGTGGATTTGAATCACCTGCCTTTGGTTTGGCAGTGCAATTCCTTAGACATTAGGCCAAAGAGCTCAAAAGGGTGCGTGTGTGTGTATATATATATATACTTTTTAAATAAACATTATCAAGGATGAACATAGGCTTATTTCCCCCATAGATTTAAAAAATCTGTATGGATACTTAATCATATACGTCGTTGTGATTGTTATATGCCATTGATAACGGAGGCGTGTGTGGCTTGTAGATATTCAGAGGCAGCAAATCACACAGGACGATACGGCCCATCTTTTTGCTGCACATCAGCTGGTGAATTTCAACCGCCTGCCTTAGGATTGGCAGTGCAACTTCTTACCACTAAGCCATCAGATACCAGATAATTTACCAACATTAATGCTAAACTACCCCCTCGTCCCCCCAAAGCAACCCCAAGCCACTGCCTTCAGGGCATTCGGACTCGTAGTGACACCCCCCCAACCCAGCCCATCGGTTTCCAAGGCTGTAAATCCGTTCAGGACGGGACTGCCCATTTTTCTCCTCTGCACTAACTGATGGATGCCAACTGCTGACTTTGCCTCTATGTTAAAGGAAGTGCTATTAAAAGGTTAAAAAATAAAGCAGGATTAGAAGTGTTCGTGGTTAGGAAAAAGGGATTATTAACGAAAAGACTTGGCAAGTCCTGGTACATGTGCAGGTGCGCGTTGGGCACTTAACTGTGGCTGAGACGTTCTCGGAGCACTGTTTGCACGAATGAGTGTGTGCACGGACCAATGAAAGGCTCCAGTCATTGAAGATGTTGCTCTTTTTTTTTTAAAAATAAAATTTTTATCTTCACTGGTTTCCTAAAAATACTGCTCCGCTTTAGGACTGACCCTGTGAGTCGGAATTAAGCCGCATTTGCGATGCACCAGGCACTGGGTTTGGACCATCGACTCTCCTTTGCCCATTGTGGAAGTGTCCACGTGCTGGCCACTGCAGCCACACTGCCCTTCGGCCAGGACGCGGTGTAGCGCTGCCACCCGCCACCGATGGGCGCAGAACGTGGACGCAGCGCAGCCGACACTCCCGCCCGGTGTGGGAAGGCGCCGGAAGTCAGCGGCCACGCCTCGCCGGTTGTGCGACTCCCGCCGGAAACCCCGCCGGAAGCCAGGGCCCTTCTAGTCCTCCGGAACATTTCTGCGCGAGCACCATTTCCGGCCGGCCCCTGGGGCGACGGAAGCGGAAGTGCTCTGCGCGCGGCTGGGAAGCGGAGGCTCGGGAGCGGCGGCGGCTGCGGGGCGCATCATGGAGCACGTGACGGAGGGTTCCTGGGAGTCGCTGCCGGTGCCGCTGCACCCGCGGGTGCTGGGCGCGCTGCGGGAGCTGGGCTTCGCGTGCATGACGCCGGTGCAGGTACCGGAGCCGGCCGGGCACGGGGCCCGCCTTTCCCCGCGGGCGGAGGGAGCGAGCGGGTGCCTCTGTTACGGGTACAGCCGGCAGGTGATGGGGACCCACTGTCCTCCCTCCGGTCCTGGCCTTGTCGCGTCTTCTAGCTTTGAGACCTTGGGCAAATGACTTTCTCTCTCTGCTTAATTTTCTTTCTGTGATGAAAATAATGTCACCTGCCTCCCAGATTTCTCGCAGGGATTAGATTAGATTTCACGTTAGTCTGTGGGTTAAATGAAACGCCCTCACTCACTCACAGTACTGTCCAGCCCGAACCGACCCACAAAAGCTGACCCTTTAGCAGCTTTTCCAGACGGGGAGGAGATCGCCCACCCTTTTCCCGTGTAGCAGCTGATGGATGCCAATTGACAGGTGACACCTCCTCTGAGCTGTTACCATCAAAGCTCCCTCCGGTCCAGGCCGTCGGAGTTAACTCAGTTTCTTCCTTTAGTTAAGAAATAGTCTGTGTCCGCTGGTACTTTTCTAGCTGCTGATACACAGATTAAAGGATTTAGCAGCCAGCCAAAAAGTGGTGTTTCATACCCCTCGGCGTCTTCATGGGAGAAAAACTAGGCAGCTTGCTCTTAAGAGATCTGCGGCCTCAGCTCGTATGGAATCTGCTCTGTAGGGTCGCTGTGAGCTAGGTGGATTAGATGGCTCTGTTTTGATTTGACCGCGAATGGTCTCCATTCATGAACATTATATTCCTAGTGTGGGAAAGAGCAAGGATTAAAGGGTCAGAGTGTCAGCTGGTGAAGAGTGAGGAAGGAGCTGATGGGAGAGCGGGGATGAGGAGGTACGGGGTAAGAGGAACGGTAGAGTGTTGCAGGGAAGCTCACTCCAAGGAAGCGTCGTGGAGCCCAGACCCCCATGAAATTGTGGGGCAGCATGTGCTGGCTAGAGCAAATACCCTAAGGCTGAAAGTGAGCTTTGCCAAGGAAAATTGGTGCCTTTGAGCTGTGGTGCTGGAGAAGAGTATTGAATGTACCATGGACTGCTAGGAGAACAGGTTCATCCTGGAGAGGGTTAAACCAGGCTGCTCCTTGGAGGCAAGGATTCTGGGGCTTCGTCTGACATACTTTGGACATGTTGTAAGGAGAGACAGGTCCTTGGAGAAGGACATCATGCTTGGTAGGGTGGAGGGACAGTGCAGGAGAGGAAGACCTTCTATGAGGTGGATTGATTCAGTGACTGGGGTAATCGAGATGGGTGTGTCAGAGGCAGTGAGACAGGCACAAGACAGAGCAGAGTTTAGGGCTGTTGTACATAGGGTCGCTATGAGTCGCAAGCGACTCGACGGCACATAACAACAGCCTTTGCTTGGCCATGCAAGTCCGTACCCACCAGGCCGTGAGAGCTCCCTGTAAAGAACAAGTAGACCAAAATTGTAAGGCTGAAAGAAATTGTCTCCAGAGTTTACCACATGTCCCTGGGGCCCACAGATGTCTCCTCCACTGAGTTCCTTTAGCCTTACCTGTGGGTTCACAACGTTCTCTAACCAGCTGATTTGCAATCCCCCTCTAGTCTGCGACGATCCCTCTGTTCATGAGAAACAAAGATGTAGCCGCAGAAGCGGTGAGTATCTGGTGGAAGCGGGCCTCCCCGCGTGCACCCTGCCAAAATGATCTTCGGGAAAAATAAGACCCAAACTGTTTCCCCTGCACTGTAGGTCACGGGCAGTGGGAAGACCCTGGCGTTTGTCATTCCCATCCTGGAAATTCTCCTGAGAAGGGAGGAGAAGTTAAAGAAGAGTCAAGTGAGTAACCTAGAGATTTTGATTTATTTTATTCATGTATCATATGGAATGGGGAGGTGAGTAAGAAAGCAGAGAAAACTGGGGCAAAGTGTATGTCCAGGCAGCTCGAATTGTTTGTGACAGTTAGGCTCTGTGCAGTTCTTACAGGCTGGGAATTGGTGGAGGCCCAGAGGCACAGAGGAAGTCTTAGGGACAATGGTTTAAATCACTTTGTTGTTGACTGCAGGGTTGGCTATTTGAATCCACCAGCTGAAACTAGCTTGCTTTAGTGGTGCATTGGTTAAAACACTTGACTATGAACCGAAGCTCAGTGAGCTGACCCACCCACTGCTTTGAGGGGGGCAAAGAGGAGGCAGTGACTTCTGTAGGTAACGTCCCTGGAAACTTCTAGAGCAGTCCTACCCTGACCTGCAGGGTCACTGTGGTTTGGAATTGACTTGGCCCAGTGGAAATGAACCAGGCTGGATTCCTGTGAGCCGCAGTCCTCCTGCTTTCCCTTGGTGTCTCCAGCTCATGAATTCTGCGTTCAGCATACGTTGATTCATTTACCGTAAACCCGTGGCCAGTAGTGCTCTAAGTTGAGTGTACGTGAGCTCTGCTTTTTCATCTTTAAGACACATCACAGACTTCTTGCATTTAGGAAACTAGATAGCATTTAAGCACTATGCCTGTGGGGCCATCATAGACAGTGAAATCACCAACAAAAGCCACAGAAATGCCACAAGCATGGCATGAAGTTCATAGAGAGAAGGACATTTGTTCACCGTCAGAGAGCTGAACCAAGGAGGCTGGAAATACAGATGTCTGTTGACCAATTTTTCACTGCTCCGGGCACATCTACAAATTAATATGGAAGTACTGATTTTGGGGTTTCAAACACAGTAGTTGTGTTGTCAGGCGAGTTCTTGGATGGAATTTGTGAGTGATGGGACCCGGCAGTGGGGAGCACGCCCTGGGAGTGCTGCGGCTTCACTGGAGTCTGGACTCCGTGGTGGCCTGGGACAGGAGGGGAGGAGCGGAGAGGTGCGTGGTCAGCTCTGCAGCTGGGCCCCACGCATCTTGTCATTCCCCTCCTTGGGCAGGTTGGAGCCATAATCATCACACCCACCCGGGAGCTGGCTGTTCAGATAGACGAGGTCCTGTTGCACTTCACAAAGCACTTCCCTCAGTTTAGGTAAGTGGAGTGCCGTCGCCCTGCTGAGCTGGAGTGTTGCTTTCATTGATCTACTCAAGGACCTGTGTTTGTTTCAGCCAGATTCTTTGGATCGGAGGCAGGAACCCTGGAGAAGATGTCGAGAGGTTCAAGGCACAAGGGTATGTATGTCTGGTAGCTCTTGCCCTCTCGTCTATGTCTGCTCTCAATGCCAATCAAAACCGAAGCTACTGACCAAGTAATTCTGACTCTCAGTGGTCCTTTAAGGCAGAGCAGACCTACTACGTGGTGGCTTACAATTCTGACTTCACCCTGTAGGACAGAGCTGACCTGCTTCATGGTGGCCCATAATTCTGACTCTCAGTGGCCCTCTCAGTGCCCTGTGGCTACTCTCAGACTGTAAATCTTCATGGAAGCGGCTGGTCCCGTCTTTCCCCCAAAGAGTGGTGGGTGGTTTTGAGTTCCTGCTCTTGTGACATCTGAGTGGTTTAATCACTGTGGCACCAGGGCTTTTCACTCTTACTGTTGAATCCAAGAGGCATTAACGCATCAGCTGGGCCTCCCAGTAACCCACGTAGACTTTCACAGCTAGCCATCACTGGATCAGTTCCGACTCCTGCACGCTGTGCGTGTCAGGGTGGAACCAAGCCCTGGAGTGTTTTCAGTGTTTCAGTGGTTGCTTAGAAGCAGGGTTGCCAGGCCTTTCTTCTGAGGGACCTCTGGTGGACTGGAACTGCCAGGGCTCCAGTTCGTAGCTCACAGCTGAAGTGTTTGCACCCCTCAGGGGCTAGTAACCATCCTCTCCTCCCCACAATGGCTTCTCTGCAGACCAGCCTCTCCTGTTGATGTGCCTGTTCCTTCCCATAAGTGCCTTAATGAACATACACCGTTGGCTGACTCGTGTCCCTGGCAGAGGGGAAGTTTGGGGGTGACTGTGTGTGGGCCTTAAGGCCAAGCTGAACTTCTCAGCCTTGCAGTTGTCTCCTAAAAGGACCCATAGCAAACAAACAACTGAGTGGATATGGTTTGTTTCCAGTAAATGTCCCTACAAGGGCAGGATTTGGACCAGGGCCTTTCAGTCCCAGCCTAGAACCCAGATCCTGGGGAGTCTTCCCTTTCCATCCCTCAGGTGATCGGGGGGTGGGAGGAAAGTCCCTGGAGAAGGACCTCATGGCTGGTAGAAGGTCAGTGAGAGAGAAGCAGACCCTCCCCTGATGGATTGACGGAGTGGTTACAACAGGGGCTCAAGCCTGGCACCCTGTGAGGAGATCGCAGGGCAGGGCACTGTTCGATTCTGTTATACTCGGCTTGCCGTGAGGCCGAACCGACTGGACGGTCCCTACTGACAACGGGAGAGCCCAGATCTGTGTCCTTGGCAGCCCCCTCGGCCCAGGTGTGGGACAGCTCTCTGAAAGGACGTGGATGATGGGGGGGGGCGGATATGCACGTGGCACTGTCGGTCAGCATTGCCCATGCGCTCGCCGTCCAGAGCGTGCAGCCATGTCCCTTTCCCTCCAAAGTGGGAACATCATCGTGGCGACCCCGGGCCGCCTGGAGGACATGTTCCGCAGGAAGGCCGAGGGGCTGGACTTGGTCAGCTGTGTGAAGAGTCTGGACGTCCTGGTGCTGGACGAAGCCGACCGCCTTCTGGACATGGGCTTTGAGGCAAGGTACGTGACTTTGGCGTCCCTGGCTTGGGGAGGGTGGGGAGAGTGGTGGAGGAGGAAACTGGAAGTGAACGCTGCCCTCGCTCAGGTCTCACCGCTCTCGAGGTGACCTGGCTCCCGGCGCCCCTGTGGGATACAGCAGACCTTGCCCATGGCTTCAGAGCTATAATCTCAGAGCCCCTGGGACTCAGTGCCTGTTGTGTGGGGCTGCTAACCAGAAGGTCAGTGGTTTGAAGCCAACAGCTGCTCCGAGGCAGAAAATGGGCAGGCAGTCTCCTCTGTAAAGAATCTCAGCATTGGGAACCTGATGGAAGGAGCCACGCATTGGGATTGGCTCAGGAGCAGCAGGTCTGGATTTTGGTTTTAATCTTCATCTGAAGAAGCTCGCTGTTTGCCCAAGGAATGACAAGTCATCGAACCACTGACCGTCACTGGTGTCCCGTCCAGCCTTTCTGACATCTGTTTGGCAGTCTGTGAGGGCCGTCAGTGGTGGGATGCCTGCTTTCCCTGCAGGAGAGCCCCTAGCTCACTTTCCGTAGGGGAGACCGAGTGTGAAGCTACACAGCTCTCCTTAGCTTCCAGACGGAGGTGCCCGAGAAGGGCAGCCTGGCAGCCTTTCTGAGAAGTGGCCAGTAGGCAGGCAGTGGTGTCCACAGTGTGCTCCCCACTGGTGGGGGCGCCCGGCTGGTGGGGCTGCCCTGCTGTTTGGTCCACCAGCCAAGGGCTAAGCTGGAGCCTTCTCTTTCCAGCATCAACACCATCCTGGAGTTGTTGCCAAAGCAGAGGAGAACAGGCCTCTTCTCGGCCACTCAGACGCAGGAAGTGGAGAACTTGGTGCGCGCTGGCCTTCGGAACCCCGTGCGCATCTCCGTGAAGGAGAAGGGCGTGGCTGCCAGCAGCACCCAGAAAACCCCGTCCCGCCTGGAGAACTACTACATGGTGAGTACCAGCTGTCCTTCACGGCGATCCCCGCCGGCCGGGGCTGCAGGGGGCAGTGCACATGCCTAGGCCGCCTGGGTTCTGGGAAGCACAGCGCTGGAAGGCTGACCTGTGACGTGGTTTAATACGCATCTGGGGCAGAGCCTGGGCGTACGGCCTGACTTGTTGAATGAATAAGTCAGCGTGGGCACCAAGGACGCTTCTCTTGGCCTCATGTTGTCAAACACCCAGTGTGTCAGGTAGCAGCCGCGGTTTCTCGCAAGGCCCCAGGCCCGGCAGATGTATTCTGTCCTGAATCACAGAGGGGCACCGCTGCACATGTGGGGAAGGAGAATCTCGGGCGAGAAGTGCTGTGGGGGAAGACTGCTGATTGGTCAGCTGTCTGCCCCAGCTTGCCTGTATCTTGGTCTCCGTCTGGGAACGCCTGATTTTATGCTGACAGACTCTTGTCAGGTTCCCTGGCGTCTGTGGCAACAGAATGACCCTAGAGGACAGAGAACTGCCTCACAGTGTTTCCCAGGCTGCAACTTTTTATGGAAGCAGAGTGCCCTAGTTTTCTCCCTTGTGAGTGAGATTTTTATTGTTTTAGTTTATAGAATTGAAATTGACCCATAGCTGACCTTTGAGCGGGTTTCAGAGACGGTAAGTCTCATGGGAGGAGGTTGCCTATCTTTTCCCCTTGGAGCGGCTTGTGGATTCAAACCATGTGCCTTTGGGTTGTCATCACAGCTCCTTACTAGTTGGTCACCAGAACTCCCTGTGGGGCAGTTGGGGACTGACAGGAGCACTTAATTGGGTGAGAGACCAGTGTCTTGCCTTAGAGGTCTCTTACACGACTGTGTACCTTCCTCTCTGGAGCTGGCTTTGCCAAGGAACCTGACCACGACCATTGACGAGAGGCTCCAGGGGACCTCTCAGTGATGTGGGTTCTGGGGACCAGTCCCAGACCTGCTGAATTAGAATCTACGCTGCCGGAGAACCGGCTTTTTAAAAATTGGTCCTGGACATACTTGTACATCAGCATTTTTTATAATAGTTGAAAAGTAGAAAGAGCTGAGTAAATGAACTGTGGTGATAGTACAATGAAGTGTCGTTGAGATAAACAGTGAAGTGAAGTTGTAATATGGACTGTGGTCCAAGTGAGCCTTGAATTCGCTGTGCTGTGTGAACCGGCCAGATGAAAAGGACAGATACCGTAGATTCCACTTACAGGACGTATGTAGGATAAAAGCCATTGCCATCAATTGTCCCGACTCGTAGTGTCCCTATAGTGGAGATCAGAACTGTCCCATAGGATTTCTGAGGTTGTGAACCTTTATGGAAGCCCGTCTCCTGCAGGGTGGCTGGTAGATTGAAGCCACTAGTCTTAGTAGACCAGTGTTTAACTCACCATGCCACCACAGCTCCTTCATAGGATCCCTCTGCCCTTGACCTCATTCCAACACCTGTGAATCCTGCAGTGAGTTTTCAGAGCTGTAAATCTTAAACAAAAGGCTGGCCGTTTGAATCCACCAGCTACTCCGAGGGAGAAAACGGTCAAGTTTTCTGATAAGCATTTTACCACAATTTTAAAAAAAACAAATAAAAGACTTCATTTACAAATAACCCCATCTACCCTGGAGGTTGACATGTTGTGGCTGTGATAGTACTTGTCTGACGGTTACGGTAGATGACTGTTCTTCCCTGCTACGTGATTGTGTGACGAAAATGAACTCTAGAGGCAGCAGTGCCCTTTGACGTGTGGGCTCTGTGCAGCTGATGGGCGTTTGCCTAAAGCCTGGCCCACTTAGGCTGAAAATCAGGTGCCTTCCCAGCGAAGACTGAAAATGACAAGGGTTTCTCGGCATCGTGGTCCATTTGCGTGCTCATACCTGATTAGTTTGCCCCTCATTTTGTAGGTATGTAAGGCCGATGAGAAATTTAACCAGCTCATACATTTTCTCCGAAATCATAAGCATGAAAAACACCTGGTGTTCTTCAGGTAAGCCCCTGGGTGCAGGGGGGGGGGGTTCAGGTGGATCAGGGGCCACTGGACTTCGACTCTCCTTGGAGCGAGCCTGTCAGAAATCATCTGACTGCAAATCGCATTAAGCTCAACCCTTGTCTCGTAACTCATCTAGTTACTGTGATTCCAGCTCCTGGCAACGTCATGTGTCAAAGCTGTGCACCAAAGGGGTTTCTTTTCTTCCAAATTTTCATTATGATTTAAGCAAAAATTGAGTAAATTATGATTTTCCATTTAGCAGTTTGCACACAAGCCCTTGATATCGATAGCATCGCTCGTCCCACTCCCCCCCTGTGTTTGGCGTTTCCATCCCTCCTCTGGCCTTCTTCCTGAGCTGGTGCAGCTCTTTGATCTCACGCGGTTGGTTATGCTGAGGACTACCTCCCTGCAGTTACTGAGCTAACGGGCCTGCCTGTTGTTTGCCTGGAAAGGGACGTCTGTCAGGTTTTTCAGAAGTTAATTAGCAGGTCTGTCTGTCAGGCTCCCCTCAGTGAACTCAAGACCTCTGACGTTTGGGTTAGACACCCAGCTTGTTTTAACTCAGAAAGCTCTGGTGGCCTAGGGGGTAGAGAGTTGCACTGCCAACTCAAAGGTGAGTGGTTCCTATCCACCAGCTTCTCTGTGGGAGAAAGATGAACAGTTTCCTCCTGTGCAGTTTGCAGCCTCTGGCAACCCCCTAGAGGGTCGGCCGTGAGTCGATTCTCCTGTTAAAGGTCCAGCGGTGGGCCGTCCTGGTCTGGTTCAGGCCTCGCCGTGCCAAGGCCAGTGTATCCGTATGATCCCTGGCGGTGATCTCATGCACTGCCACCAGACATGTCATGGATGCTGGCCGGTGGCTCTGAAGTGGAACAACATTCAGTTTAGAAGCTTCTGAACTGAGACTAGGAAGAAAGGCCTGGTGGAAATCTGCCACTACAACCTCATGACCACAAAAGTACGGGGTCACCTTGATGGAGGCCAGTGTGGTGGCAGCCAGCTCTGCCTCTCTCTGTCCCTAGACCCTTCCTCCTGTCGTGAAGGGTCCAGGTGACCCCGTGTCCCTTCCACTCTCACAGCACCTGCGCCTGCGTGGAGTACTACGGGAAGGCCCTGGAGGCCCTGGTCAAGGGCGTGACGGTCATGTGCATTCATGGCAAGATGAAGTTCAAGCGCAACAGGATCTTCATGGACTTCCGCAAGCTGCAGAGGTGAGCCAGCCTGGGAGAGTGCAGCTCCTGACCGGCACCCACTTAGCCGCTTCCCTGGGTTAAACCGGGAGAGAGGAGGCAGGCAGGCTGCTCGCGTGACGGTGCCCAGCCTGTGGCCCTTCTGCTCCTGTCTCTCAGCAGCTGGGAGTTGGAACCAGCTCGTGGCGCTGGGTTTGCTGGGGGCCGTTCTGCTCTGGTCTGTCGGCCGTCGGGAGTTGGAACCAGTGGGGCGGTGCTGGGGTCACTTTGCCTGACTTCTCATGTAACAGCACATGATGATACAAGCCTTCATCCACTGTCCTAACCCTTCCTTCCTGTGACTCTGATGAACGCCTAGTTAGTGCACCTTCCTGCTAAGCCGTGAGCTGCATGGGCACAGAGGGCTGTGGTTCCCCCTAGATTCACAGTGCTGGGTCCAGTGGGGCCTTGGGCACTGGGTGTTGTATATGTACCCAGAGCAGAGCACATGGAACGCAGCAGTCTCGTTGGGGTGGGAGGTCTCCAGATTTCCAGGCTGGCCTTCGGTGACGGTTGAGTCAGTCATCATTCGTCTCTCCCAGCCGCTGACCATGAGCTCTATTTAAAGCTCCACTTAAAGACTGTCTTGGGAGACAGTCTACTGTAACATAAATGGAGACAAAACCCAGGCACCTGCCTCCTCTCGTGGGTCCCATCTCACGGTGGTGCCGTGGGCCTTGCAGGAGCCCCGTAGGGTTTCCGAGGCCGTGATCAGTACCGGAGCCGACTGCCACCCGTTCTCTCAGCAGCCCAGTGCTCAGCCCACTGAACCACCAGAGGAAAACTGCACTTGGGTTTTGAAATGGCTACAAGTGGATCCAACTCCACTTTTAACAGAAATGTTCTCATTTTTAAAATGCCCTCGGTGTATTTGCACCATTTCTCTGGGGGTTTGTGATGGTGGTGGTGGTGGTGGCTGGTAGGGGCCACTGAGTGGTTTTGTGGGACCCTGTAAACAGCAGGTGGGAGCCATGCCCTGGGGACCTGGGGCAGGTGTGCGGAGCCCTGGGGATGGACCTTGTTGTTAGTAGACACTCAGTTCTGGGCGGGGAAGCCATGCATCTGGGCTGCAGCCAGCCATCCACATCTGTAAGGACAGGCCGGCACCCATGAGCCGGCGACCTGCTCAGCCGGCTATTCTCGTCTCCCAGTGGCATCCTGGTGTGCACGGACGTCATGGCCCGCGGAATCGATATTCCCGAAGTGAACTGGGTTTTGCAGTACGACCCCCCCAGCAATGCAAGGTACGTCCCCCCTTGGTAAGACCTTGCCCTGCAGTGAGGAGCCTGAACTGCAGATGGGCGAGTCCGGAGGAAGGTAAACAGAGTGATGCTTAGCCCAGCTTTATTTTAAGCCTCCAGCAGGTGAGCAGTGCATGGGATGATTCTGTTCTGAAGGCCTGTGCAGCCACTAGACATGCTTCCAAATACGTTTACGCTGTTTTCTTAAGTTCTTGAAGAAATGCATATTCAAATGGGCAAAGTCAGATATGGAAGCGTAATACATTTTTCTAGTGTGTGCTGTATATCTTTTATATACATATAAACGTGTGCATTCACAACATATGCTTCCAAACGGGAAAATATCCGTAAGCACAAACTTTCGAGTGATGAGACCATTCAGTTCTGGGTGACAGGCTTTCAGGCTTCAGTCTGTGCCTCACCCATTTCATTATTTGTGTCGGTCCCTGCTTAGGAGCATGGCCCAGACGACTGGTCAGGTAGAAGGGGTCACTCTGACAAGTTCACATTCAGGATCTTGTAGAGCATCGTGCCTGGTCTGTGGTGCAGCCACATCTCACTTTACTGAGCTTTTCTTTATTGCGATTGGCCGGCACTGAGTTTTCTTTGTGCGACGTGAAGGCCTGTGTCACCAGTCTGTTTGTGCCCTTTTCCAGTTGCACGCCCTCCCGTGATGGGTCAGGCGTTCTCACGTCGTTCACACTTTTCCCTGATGTCCCCACACACCTGTTAGGTGTCAGTAGTGTGTCCACTAACTTGTATGTGAGACGCACCAGGAGACCGAGGAATGCTCGTGACTTCTTTACTGCGGTGTTTACTCCGTGGTCTCTGGGTTTGTCTGTATGTGCGTAACCGCCGGCTCTTCTGAGAGCAGTGAGGGGCCTGAGGGGGACAGAGCTGTGGCGAGTCTGGCAACTCCCCCCCTTTTAGAAGCATCCCCTCTTGTCGCAGTGGCTGACCCACGTCCACTCTGTCCACAGTGCCTTTGTGCATCGCTGTGGCCGCACTGCCCGCATCGGCCACGGGGGCAGCGCCCTGGTGTTCCTTCTTCCCATGGAAGAGTCCTACGTCAATTTCCTCGCCATTAACCAGAAGGTGAGCGCTGGGACGGGCAGCCTAGGAAGGGGTCATCAGCAAGCGGGCAGACTTGGGGCCGAGGCGGCAGCTCAGCAGGGCTGGGTCTGAGGGCCAGAGGTCTTCTGAGGCACCATCCAGGGTGGTGACCAGTGCTCGGCCCAGCCGAGGGGCAGTGCTCAGGCCCTCGGACCTGGTACTCCCACATCTGTCATCAGAGATGTAAAATGCCATCTTAAGACTTCCTTTAAAAAAATTTTTTTTTAAATTGAGTACTGAGGGAACTGAATGGTTGTGACCTTGGGTTCGTGGGGGGAGCCTCGGTGGGGCGGTCCCGGCCTGGGGTTGAATGCGTGCTGTGTGTGCAGTGCCCCTTGCAGGAGATGGGGCTCCAGAAGAACACAGCGGACGTGCTCCCCAAGCTGAAGGCCATGGCGCTGGCCGACAGGGCCATGTTCGAAAAGGGCATGAAGGCCTTCGTGTCCTGCGTGCAGGCCTACGCCAAGCACGAGTGCAGCCTCATCTTCAGGCTCAAAGGTGAGTGGGCTTCCCCGAGAACTGTCTCCCCCGGAATCCCAACGCGTGTGGGTCTCCGTCCTCATACCTCTAAGTCCAGGCATACAGATGCATGTTGTGCTTCACAGATACCATTCCTTTTTCTTTTTTCCCCCTCTTCTCTTTCTGGGCTGCAAGAGAGCAAACTGGCCACTTTCTCTTCACTTTACAGTCATTCTCGTATTCATTCTAATGGAAACATACCCTTTAAGTCCTTTGCGTAAAAAGAGGGTCCTGTGAGGAGCCTTGCGTAGTCGGTTCTTGTTGGAGTTTGGCCGCCCTAACAATGATGTTCTGGTTCAACTAGACCTCGATTTTGCCGGCCTGGCTCGCGGCTTTGCCCTCCTCAAGATGCCCAGAATGCCTGAGCTGAGAGGGAAGCAGTTTCCTGACTTCGTGCCCGTGGACGTGAACACAGACACGATCCCGTTCAAAGACAAAGTCAGAGAAAAGCAGAGGCAGAAGCTGCTGGAGGAGAAAAGGAAAGAGAATGCCGAACACGAAGGCAGAAGAAAGTTCACAAAGAACAAAGCTTGGTCCAAGCAGAAGGCCAAGAAGGAAAAGAAGAAGAAGGTGAACGAGAAACGGAAACGGCAAGAGGTAACAGTGTTGTTCCCGTCAGTATGTCTTGTGGAATCCCGGAGGGGAGTGTTGTTTGTGAGCCGAGGGGACAGGATCTCTCATAGGGATTGGAGCTCCATAGTGGCTCTCAGATCTCTGTATTACCTTCTGCCGGGGGCGGGGAGGGTAGTGGGGCGTGCTCAGTGTCGTTGAGTACCGTCCAGGGGTCTTAAAAGGCAGGCAGTCACCCGGGAGGAGCCTGCATTTGAGTTGGCAGTGCACCTCCTTAACCACCGCGGGGCCCCCCGTGCTCCCAGGACGCAGGCTAAGCGGCTCCCGGTGAAAAGCTGCTCATTTCCCAGCTGGCCCGATTTCTGAGCAGTTCAGGCATCTGTTGGTTTCTTTTGCTCGTAGGGCTCTGACATGGAAGACGAGGACATGGAGGAACTTCTTAATGACACAAGACTCTTGAAAAAGCTCAAAAAGGGCAAAATCACTGAGCAAGAATTTGAGAAGGGCTTGTTGACAAGTAGTAAAAGGACAGTGAATGCAGACTTCGGGATGTCGGATCTGGAAGATGACAGCTGATCCCAGAGCCTCCGATGCAAGGTGCTCGAGCACGCGACTGGGGACCTGCAGGGCATACGGGGACTGACTCGGCCTGACCTCTGCTTTCCTGCATGGGGACGTAACAGCCCCTCTCCACAGGCCATCCTGCAGCCTGGGCCAAGTGAGGGGTTTCCTATGTGGGACCGTGTTATCAGAAATAGCCCATCTATCTATATCAGGACACGGCGGAAGACTCAGCCCAGCGCCTTCAAGCTGGAGCGAGCTCCTGGCCTGCCAGCCCTCTGACTTCCAGAGTTTCCACTGAGAAGTGAGAGCGTAATCTAATTGGTTCCCCTTCGTAGGTGAATTTTTTTGGTGCAGTTTCAGTATTCTGTCCTTGTCTTTGACTTTGGAGACTTTGACTATGACGTGTCTTCATGTTCGTCTTCTGGGGTCTAGTCTGTTGTCTCTGAGCTGAATGTGAACACCCTCGTTTTTCCTGATTCCTGGGAGGGTTTGTCTGAGTACGTCTTCCAGTTTTCTCGGGTGTTTTTTTCTCTCTCTTTTCTCCCTGTTCTGGAATTTCAGTCACACATAGGCTGTTTGCTGTTACCCGTGTGATCCTATGTTCCTCCTGTCTTCTCTGCTTTTCCTTTTTGGAAGTTCTCATGGAGGTCCTTGCCTTCTAGTTCACTGAGGCTCTGCTCCATCTCTGTCCTGCTTTTCTGTCCCTGGGACATGTTGAAGATTTCTTCAACATTGGTCGTCTTATTCCAGTTTGGATTTTTACATTTTTCTGTTGATTCGATTTAGAACTGTGTTGGTTGTACCCTCTGTGTCTTGTATTGATTTTTTTTAAAATTTTTATTATTTTTATGTATGTGTGTACTGTCAAATCGGAGCTGACTGGTACAGGAGGAGATTGCCCCTCCTCCAGCGGAGCATCTGATGGATTCAAACCGCGCACCTCTGGGATTGCAGTGCAGCTTCTTGCCACTAGGCCACCAGAGCTCCCTTGTATTGATTTTTTAAATTCTTCTTTTACTCATGTTTTCATTTCTTCCATCATTTGTGACGTCTTCCACACCAATCCTTGGGGCTCCGTGAGAGTGGAGAGTGGAATCCCTTGTGCCTTCCTGCCTCCGGGATACTCGTGTTCTCACGCTGGTCTGTTTCTTCAGGCGGCTTGTTTTGCCTCTTCCTGGGTTTTGAACCTGACTGCTCTTTCCTTGACCTGACGCAGGTTTCTTCTTGGTCTGTAGGAGGTAGCTTCTCTAGGGCAGTGGTGTAGCTGTTAACGAGGCACAGCCTCACCCACTGATGTGGCCCAAGTCAGCACCCGTAGTTTACTGTGTATCCTGCATCTGGCTCTTCATCTGACCTCTGGTTCTTGGCACTTGAGCCAGCTGCCCATCATCTGACCTGATTCACCAGCTTCCACAGCCATGTGAGCCGGCAGCCTCCTGCCCCAGCTCCTGATGTGGGCTCCTCAACCCGAGACTACGGAAGTCAAGAGAATCCTCCAGAATGGCGCCGCAGCCAAGGATTTGGGCCTTTCCAGTCTCCACGACTGTGTGCGTGAGTTCTAGAAGGCGTTATAATGAAGAACAAGGAACCAGAGATGGAAGGGAAGTAACTGCTGTTGGGGATACTGGAACAGTCCTGCAGCGTGGACAGGTGGACATTTGAGACACTTTAACCCCTGCTTGGCATCACTAGATTGGTGTTAAGTCATTTTAAAATAAATTATTTTTGCAAGATGTTACAGCGTTTTTATGAAAACCGTATTTTTGAGGATGAAAACCACATGTGAGGATTTTGCAGTTACTATTTGCAGATGAGGAAATGGAGATCCGAGATAGGAATAATTTTCCAGTGGTTGGGTGAATTTAGGGAGTTAAGATTTAAACTGTGCTGGAGTTCTAGTTATATTACCACACAGATGGATGGCACATGGGAAATCAGGGACAGGTGAACACTTACAGTTCCAGGACCTTGAAGGCTACATCAGTGGTGTTGATGGCCTTCGAGTTCAGCACGACTCACAGCGACCCTCTGAACAAAAGGCCCGAAGCCCCTCTACAACTGTCAACATTGATCAAAGTTCATGGAGTTTCTGGAGGCATGTGGTTTAGAAGTGGATGTCACTCCACTTCCAAACCTGTCAGTATGTTATTGTTGTTATGTGCCATAGAGTTTCTTGCAATGTATTGCGACCCTGTGTACAGCAGCTCTGAACCCTGCCCTGTCCTGAGCCAGTCTCACTAATTCTGACACACCAACCCCCATCACCTCAGTTACGTTATCAATCCATCTCATCCGGGGTCTCCCTCTCCTGTGCTGTCCATCCACCCTTGTGAGCATGATGTCCTTCAAGGACTGATCTCCTGGCCACGTGTCCAAAGTAAGTGAGGCGGAGCTTCAAAATCCTCACCTCCTAGGAGAGACTTGGCTTCACCCTCTCCCAGACAGACCTATTTGTTTCTTTGGCGGTCCATGGTATGTTTAAGACTCTTCTCCAGCACCATGACTCGAAGGCATCGATTCTTCTTCTGTTCTCCTTGGTCACTGCCCAACTCTCTGTAGCGTAACAAGTAAAGAGAAGACCATGGCCTGGATTAGGTGTACCTCTCTCTGTGTATAAAGGAGAATTATTGTGAGCACCTTTTGATAGAAACCTCTCTCAATCCTCTTTTCTGGACTTGAGGCTTTTCTTCTGGGCTCCCACATCCCCTGGGGGTGTCCTCATCAGACTGTTCACCCCAGTGCTGTAAAATGGCTCAGGGGCTCCACCATTTACACCTCAGAACTGGGTCCATCTGCTTTTTATACCTGTCACTTCCCATTGCTTAGTACAGACCTAATACTCAATTCAGTATTGTTGTTATTACTGCATAAAGGCAGACAGGAAGAGTAAAAATCAATGTTCACGTGTGGGTCCCATCACTACTGTCTGGAAGGCTTCAGTGTTCCACACGAGGGACACCAGTCAGATGTAAAAACATAGGTACCCCGTCACATCTCCCATAGAGGACTGTTAGAGCATGAGGAACAGAGAGCTGTGTTTGGGCCTGTAAACCAGGGACAAAGGGGTGGAGGGTGACAGAACAGAGGGTGAGAGCAGGAAACATTCCAGAGTATATATGGGACGGTGAGGACAGAAAAGACAATTCTAGACACAGAAAACATAAGAAGCAGCTTCAGCTCCTTCTTCCTCCTTGTTTTTCATTTTCCTAAAACGTAAGCAATGAGATCCCTGATGCCACCATCTCTTTGAAGCCCAGCTTGAACTTCTGGCCATTTTCTTTCCATGTACTGGGCTTTTCACTCACGTACTGGGCATCTGACAGCTGAACAATAAATAAAGATGACAGAAGAACTGGTGCCTTTGGGGGGGTGGTGCTGGAGAAGAGTGCTGGATACCCCCCAGACTACCAAAAGAACAGACAGATAGGCCTTGGAAAAAAGCCCAACTCCAGAGGCAAGGATGGTGAAACTGTCACATACTTTGGGCGTGTTGTCGGGAGAGGCTGATGCTTGGAAAGGCCGTGGGAGAAGGAGACCCTCAACTACATGGATTGACACAGTGACCGTAGCACTGGGCTCCAGTGTTGTCAGATGCTGAGGAAGGCACAGGACAGGACAGGGTTCACATCTGGTCACAGGGTCACTGAAGGATGATGGCACCCAGCAACAGCTGCATGCGAAACCAAGGAAGCAAATCCAGGAAAGGAAACACTCGGGCCGTTTGTGAAAAGGGACAGACCACACCAGCCCGAGGGTGTGAACGTGCCTGAACCCGTGTTCACACCAAGGCTCAGGGCAGTGATACAACAACATATCCAGGTCTTTCATAAGATTTATTTGACGAGATGCTATGTTTGTTCTCACTGCAAAGTTTAAAAGCTCTCAGGGCCTGAACATGTTGAAAAAAGACTGGTGTCTTTTCAAGCTGAGAGAAGGTAATTTCAGGGACTCCCAGAAGGCACTCCTGTGGGCGGGAGTGGCGCGGGGCCTCGTGAGCGTGCACTGTGCTTGAACAATTCACGTTCAGTTAGCGTGCCTGCCTTTTGGTGAGGAACCATCCATAGCTGTTCCTGGCCAGCATGGTGGCCAGGTGTAGCTGGACCGCTGCTTCCAGGCAGGCCTGCCTGTCTATAAGGGATGCACAGTGTCTTCTGCCAATCTGTTCAGCAGCCAGTAATGAATTTGAGTCTCAGAATTGAGAATGAAGTCTCTCAAAACCTCAAGTCCAATTCAGGCTGAGTCTTCAGAGAACCACCAACACACCTGAGATGGGACCAGAATGAGTAACAGATTGGCTGATTTTAGATCCCGCATCTGTAGGTCTCTGATAAAGCTCCCGTGTTGGCCTGGCTCGCAGCTCCGTGCCTGACCGGCAGACGCGGCAGGAGGCTCGGCATCAGAGGTAGAGCTTAATGAGTTCGTCACTGACTGCCGAGGGCGTGAGGACGCCCAGGTCCGTGAAGAGCAGCGTGATCAGGGATGGGGACGTGTAGTCCACCCACGGGTGCTCCTCCTTGAGGTCCTTCCCCGTCTGCGCTGACCTCAGTGTGTCCGCTTTGTACTGAGGGAGAGGAGAGCGAGTGTCAGTCATGGGCAAGGCTCTGTGCTGACCAGGTGTGGCCAGAGTGGTCAGGGCACCGGTGCTGGTGGGTGCTGTCGGGAAACAGGAGGGCCAGGTAGCGTTGGGGTCATGGCAGAAAGGCCAGGTGTGGAGCGGTCAGGGCACCAGCGCTGGTGAATGCTCTTGGGACAGAGGAGGGTAACAGTATGGCCCAGGGTCTAGGAGGGGCAGGTGGCACTGGGGTCATGGAGTGTAGGCCAGGGGCCCGAGTGGAAGCCCAGAGCACGGTTCCCCTCGCTCGTGTGCGGGGTGGGCTCCTGGAGCCTCCCAGGAGGAGGTTTCTGTAAAGAGCTCACTACATCTGTGATGGCACAGGCTGAAGAGCAGTGGAGACCCACCAGCCACTGCCTGGGAGAAAGCTCAGGCCGTCTGTTCCTGCCAAGACAGCACAAGAAACAATGGGGTCTGCGCGGTTTGCTTTCAGCCGTGTCCCTGCTCTGCTCTCTGGGTTACCTGGAAAATCCGCATCGCCTTGCTGGACACAGCAAATGTCTACACATAGAGAGATGGAGGCCCAGGGAGGTTAAGAGACGCGCCCAGGACCATGCGGCAGGAAGTGAGGAGCGGGGGCTGAAACCAGACCCTCTGGCTCCAGAATTTGAGCTCCGGCCATCACCAACTTTCTGTGCCGCCTTCCAGCACCAGGATCACGTCGTAAAGTAAGAAACGTGAGCAGCTGGCAGCTTGTCTCCAGCACCCAGTTCTGGGGGCACCGCAGGGCGAAGGGAACAGCGTCCTGGGCCGTCTTTGGGGCGCATCTTCTCAAAGGCTCTACTCACGTGTGCACAGCTCTTACCTTAAACTTATCTGGGACATCTTGCTGGTTCAGTGGGAAGAGCCGGACAAACTTGAAACTCTCGGCAACCACATAGAAGGGCTTGTTCTGCGCTTTGGCGCACACGGCCATCTGGTTGGTTCCAATCTGGGAAGTTGGGGGAAGAAAAACACCCAAACGGGCAAGGATGTGATCAATGAACACACCAGATGTGGAATTAGAGACCCTTTCAGACAACTGACAACAGGCTGCACAAAACCTAACCAACATAAGCACTGGATGGAGAAAATGAAAGAATAAGCGTGCTTTAGATCAGCTATGTTCACCAAATCCCCCCCAAACTGAAAACAACACTCCAGCTCCAAACAGATGCTTGTTCTGAGGAGATACAAACTACTTCTGTGACGTCCACAGAGCAGCCTCTAATGCAGAAGGAAAGAAACAAAAATGAAGTTTCTCTCGATTGGCCATTGTCCTGGCTTATAGGAGCTGGAAGACAGTGCATCCCACCCACATCAGGCCCTGAAGCTGGCCAAGGCAGGGGACGGGCTGTGACATCAGTGTGGGACCCCGTTTGGTCAGCCCACATCCGTACAGCATTGCCACGTTTGAGCAAAAATTACCCAAACGCACACACTCCTACCTTGTTAATAATTCCTCCGTTTTCAACAACTCCTTCAGCACCAACGATGACAAGATCTGCCTTTTCCATGATATAGCTAAGGAAAGTGGAAAAAAGGTTGATGTTCTTTTATCTTGGTTCTTGTTCACACCATCACTGAAATTACAGTATCCATCATGCTGAACTCCTGAGAACCGTTTTTCAAAAGAGCACAGTACAGTACGGTGCCTATCAGTGTTACACGTCAACGCCTGCGTATGTGCGTAACTGAAGCGGGACACCTGTCGATTTATCCACAAAGGTTCCAACGAGGTGGTGGTTATGCTAAAAGGAGGACTGTCTGTAGAGGATGCCTCCGTCATCACATAAATGCCACAGGGCATGTTACATCCCTGCCAAACCACAGAGAGGCATGGCCAAGCTGACCCAGGACTGTGACGGCCACTGACCCTCCCTTCGCACCCCGGCACTGGTTACAGCCAGCGGGATGTTGTTAATGTGCAAACTGGTCAGAAAGTAAAGTTTTCACCAAGGCCATAAATACAAATGTGGAAAACGAGACAGTAGCTGAGCGAGAAGCAGGTGTATTCACCCTCACCAGGTGTGGCGTGGTTTGTTTTCTATTTGACACACTACAAAGTGCTCACATATTCTCACATAGAAGTTAAAAAGCTTATCTTGCAATTTTAGAGCCCTGCTAGCGGGGCAAAGTCAGATTTGCCTTTTACAAAGGACAATTCATGGAATTCCTCAAGCCTGTCGGCTGGAACGCTGTCCCAGCTTCCCTGTGAGATGCACTGGCCATCCAGAGACGGGCTGACCTTGGTCTCAGAAAAGAGGCTGGGCAAATAAACAACCGCTGGTGGCCTCGGGTCAGCTCTTGCTTCTGGATGCAGAGCAAGTGCCACCCATGCCTCTGGATCCTAGGGTGACCATAGCCTCTTGCTTTTAAAATGCAGGAGCCCCTTTACTCCTGGTGCCTGCCACACCTGTTCTCCCTCCTGCAGCCCTGTCTGCGTGTTATCAGGGTGTAAGTTAGGACAGGCCTGTGGCCTTACCCCACCCATGAAGGACGCCGTGGGTGCAGCTCTAGCAATGTGGTTCATCCCTGTCTCGGAAAGGGGACTTGGAGGGAAGGCCTGGCACTTACCCCACAGCGGCGTCCAGGACCACGGTGACAGGGACGTTGAGGTGGCACAGCGCCTTGGCCATTTTCTTGCTGGAGACGACATTAAGGGCGTTAGACAAACTCGCCCAGTCCCACAGTGACATTTAATTTGAGCAAGTCACTTAATCTGGACCGCGATGACAGGCTGAAATTTAACTTTGTACTGATGAGTAGAGGGGTGAACGCCAAGACTTTGGACTAGGAAAATAAGAATTTGGGTTCATCACAAGGCAGTGGGTATTTTAGGAAAATATCCTTGGAGTCTCCAGAGAAGAAACAGAATTGTGGATAAAGAAGGTTCTATTTTTTTTTATTATTATTAATTTCAATGAAAATTTAGAGAGACTTTGGATTTCCATTCATTCATTGTTGCACAAGAAGGTTCTACTTTTATTCTGGGTCGATGGAGTTGTGAGTTAAAGGAACCCTTGATAAAAATAACCTTCCAAACACTCTTCCATTCAATTTAACGACTTGGATCTAGAATGAATTCACAGTGACTGTTCCTCCCTGGGCAGGGAGGGGTCCACGGCGGTGCTGGCGGCCTGGCACGGGGAGGCCCTCTCTTGCACCTTTTACGATGGGCTCTAACCCTCAGTTTACCCTCTGAGGTGTCTACTGGGCACATTAACAGAGCTGAAAGGTACTTGCCCAGACAGATCCGGCTGTGACTCCGTGACGTACACACTGAAGCGCTTCTTGGCCGCCACAGCCGCCTCCAGGACTCTGAGGACCACCCTGGAGTAGGCGTGAGTCAGGATCCTCTGTGAAGGGACAGGGTGTCAGAAGGCGGCTTCCCAGTCCCTGCCCTCACCATCGGCCTCGGCCGTGTCGGTTCCCGGGGCGAGGCTTCTCCCCACCAGCTTCCTGTCCAAGTCACAGACAAGTGGACAAAGCTTCTGCCAAATGACCCTCCTGGGGCCTGCCCCCCTCACTGCAGGTGCACACGTGGACCCTCCGCTAAGCGAGGCTCACAAGACCCCAGGGCCTTTGTAGCGGGGGGGGGGGCCTCCCCATTCCTGAGGGCGGGATTTGACACAGCTTAAGACACAGCTAATCTTGGTGGGCAGGCGACAGGCAGGTAACACTGATGTGCGAAGTGAGGCAGGAGGGGTGGGCTGCAGAGGGCAGGGAGAAGCCAGAAACTCAGGATTCCTCTGCTAAGGAGGGGGCCTCGTAGCAAGAAGCGGAGCTGACATCCCAAAGGCATGCGGTTCAAATCCACCAGCTGCTCCGTGGGAAAAAGATGGGCAGTGTCCTGTCTTGCAGCTGACCACCTCTAAAAACCTGCTGGAGTATCAGCTGTGAGATGGTTCCGACACACAACAACCACAACTATGCTAAGAGCCTCACTGACAGCAGTTTCACGATGAGCCCGAGAGTCTGCCTTCTCGGGGAGCAGGGATTCCACCACACACACCCTGGGCTGCCGGAACAAACTCCTCTGGGCTGGAATCTGAGCAGGGAGACCCCCTGGAAGCCAGGGCTCTGCCAGGACAGGGAGCCTTTGTCTCTGGGACTTTGGACGTGTGTCCAGGAAGGGCCAGACTAGAGAGAAGGGGCAGGCCCTTGATGGGACAGACTGCCAGAGGGGCTACCCCCCTGAACCCCAACGGCAATGACTGAGAACAGGTAAGATTTCGGGAGTCCAGAGTCACAGACATGAGACAGTGTGATGGCATCTGACAACTCATTTTTATGAGTTTTATAAACTGGGATAAACCCAACCCAACATCTGTGCCATCAGGTGACCTGCAGTGGATTAACGCACACCCTCGCTCCCAAGGACGGAGAACAGCTGTGTGTAACGCCACATGGGACAGATGTGAGCGTCCACCTGATAGCTGGTCAGAAACACAGCTTCTCGGGCTTTGCCCTGGACCCACTGCCCCAGACTCGGCATTCACAACGTCCCCAGATGATTCACCTGCACGGTCAAGTTTTAAACACTGACCCAGCCCTCCCGGCGACCCCCCCATGTTGCAACAGGACTGTGTTCTCAGGGCTTCAAGGGCTGAGTGTTCTGCAAGTCCATCATCAGGCCTTGAACCTCCAGCCTTTTGGTTTGTAGCTGTCTGCACTACCCAGGAATTCAGGCTCTGCTGTAAATACAACCCGATCTGGAAACCAAGACCCACTGCCGTCAAGTCAGTTCTGACCCACAGCCACCCTCCATGGGCTTTCAAGGCCATGAATCGGGGTTTTTTTAACAAATAATTGGGCTGCCTTAATGACATCACCATCATTGTACTTTCTGATCAGCAAAGTGTTAACACGGACTGGGGGTTTTAAAAATTTGCACTATTTTTTTTTTTTTAAATTTCTTTTTCATGCAGCATAGACTGCTTTTATCTATTAAATCAATCTTTCATGTGTACACTTCCCACTTGGCCGTGAAATCAGTCTTTCATCCTTCTTCTATGAGTGTCTGCTGGATTTAACACTCCAACATGTAACCTGCTGCACCAGCAGGACTCCTTAAACAGCCTAAGTCAGTACTAGTACAGTGGCCTCCAGGAGGCCGGTGAGCGCCAGCCGCCCGGTGGACGGTGCAGGGGGGCTGCTGGGGAGCCCGCAGAGCAGTCCCCACCCAGGCAAAAGCAGCTCTGTTCGCCACTGTGTTTTGTATGCGTTCCACTCATGTCACCCACATCACTGACTTAAAACTCTACTTCAAAGGCTGGGACAAGGGTAATAAATCAGAAGACAGGGCATAAGCATCAAATGCAAACCAGTGATTTGTGGTCAGGGAGGCCTGGGCGGCCAGCAGGGCGTCTGCCCGTGGGAGAGGTGTGATTAAAGCTTTATTGGCCTGGCTCACGACCAGCTTGGCTCGCAGCTCTGCGTCTCTGCAGTAAAATGTGACAGGAGAGGAAAAAGCAAGCCTCAACCCCGTCACTTCCCCAGGGGGATGTCCAGCATCAACCAGGTACAGGAGCTGCAGGGGCTGACTCCACACAGATCATGGAATGTGGGTCCAAGAATAAAGAAGCTTTAGTAAAAGGGAGCTTGGATGGCTTAGTGGGTAGAAAGTTACACTGCCAACCCAAAGGTCCAAGGTTCGAATCCACCAGCTGCTCCTTGGGAGAAATACGGACACTCTACTCCCGTCATTAACTGTAAACTCCCTGGAAGGTCAGCCGTGCGTCAGTTCTGACCTGACTAAGTCAAGCAGCAGCCCTGTTGTGGCCCAGAACTCTGGCAGCCTGCGTGTCAAGAGCAAAATCGCTGCTGACGTGGTTGTGACTCACAGTGAACTCGCAGAACAGGAGGGAACCGTCCCTGAGCGCCCAAGGCTGCGTGTGGGCGTGGAAGCGGCCGGCCGCAGCTTCCTCTCTCAGACTTGGGAACGGAGTTCAGATTGCTAACATTCAGTTAACAGCTGAGTCCGTACCTCCCGCACCACTCGGGCTCCTGCCGTCGATGACAAACACCTACACTTATGGAGTCTTAGGACGCGCCTGGCTCCTTCCCAAGCCCTTTCCAGACACGTTCTCACTGAAGCCTCACAGCCTGGCGCTGGGCTCCTCGATCTGACGGTGCGAGCTCGCCCAGGCCACACAGCAAGGGTCAGACGTCTACTCACAGCCCCGTCCTTGATGAAGCTGTGGCACAGGTCCGCGATCTTCGTTCTCGACAGCGATATCCTCCTGAGAAACAGTTCTCCTCGCTCGATCATTATTTTTTTACATTTGGAGTAATCCTGGGGACAGAAGAACAAACTGAGAGCAGGGGCAGGCGAGCCCACGCAGAGGCGAGGGCTCAGCTGGGCGAGAAAACCCACGCGAACCACGTTTTGCTCACAGATTCGGGTTAGTCTACTTTTTAAACAGAAGATGTGTGGACACCTGCATTACACAAATCCACTGGACCCAGATTATTAACAGCACGTGCCCATTTTGTGTCCCTGAGCCACGCTTTGGTCATTCTGGCAATTTCTCTGCAGTGGGGCAGTCTCCTCCCATGCGACTTACTATCTCTGAAAGCCCACTGGAGAGTCAGCTATGGGTTGGTTCTGATGCGATGGCACACAACTACAACAACAACAACGTGTTCTTGTGAGCTTGGCAGTGCATGCACGTGCGCACACACAGACGGGTGGGTGGGGGCAGGGCTTACAGAATACTCCAGGGAGGTCAGCGTGATGAAGCGAAGGAAGAGCTCCCCGCCCGAGGACACGGCCACGGAGGAGTCCACGCCGCCCAGGGTTTCTATGGCGCTGGTGAGATTTGCTCGCAGACCCTGGATTGTCTCCCCTGGAATGGTCACACGTGCATTTTAGCCCCGGGTGGGACTGAGATGCATTCATGCACACAGCGAGAATTCTATACCCTATACCCTGAGGACGGATCAGCCAATGAGACACGGGGCGCCCTGCTCCCACGGGACTCCCTGCCTGACGGAGGGAGCAGGAAATGAACAAGCGTGTACATCAATAGGTCAGTTAATTACAGACTGTGATGGGGCCCGGAAAAAGCAGAATGATGAGAAAAGAGGGGCCGCTTTAGACAGTGAAGAGGGGAGGCCTCCCGGAAGGGGCTGCATTTGATCTGAGCCCAGACAAAGAGACGAACCCGTGCAATCAGGATGTAGTGAGACAGGCTGCGAGTTTTAGATTGTAATTAATGCAAAGTCTCAGAGATGGGAATACACTCGGTCCAAGAAATAGAGAGCGGCCGGCCTGGCTGAAGCACAGTTCAGTGGGGGACGTGTGGGAGGGTGTTAGTCCAGAGGCAGAGGAGGTACACAAGGCGGAAGAGAGGAGGCTCGGGGGTCTGTCTGTGACTGTACAGTGAAGAAGGCAACTCAGGGTCGTGTTCGCCATGCATGTCTTGAGGTCAGCTTACTGGAGAGCTTTTTAAAAAATTCTGGCTGGCAAAAAAAAAATTTTATATTTTCTGGCTGGCACAAGATGTCACGTCACACCCAAGAGCTTACATTAGGATTCCTGAATAGCTCACAGGCCATGACATTAATACCTGACCTTAGCACCAGAATTAATTTCCTCACTGGGCAGAATCTGCCGTAGGGTGAATATTAAAAAATGTACAGTATTCATATAACATCAACCTGGAACAAGAGGTGCACTGCTGGGTGAGATGGGGAAGGGGGAGGGGAGGGAGAGGAGAAAACGGGCAACAAAAACAACAAATGATAAATAAAAAAAGTAAACTGGGGGAGAGGGAGGAACAATGAATGAATGAAAATCCCAACTTTTCTGTAAACTCATTAAAATCATAATAAAGATTTTTTTTTTTAAAAATGTGTAATACTGAGCTACTGCTACATTTTCCACTTTCTGATTGACTATACGATAAGATGGTTGTTTTGACTGGGAGGTTGTTGTCCTTATAAAAGGAGCTCCTCTGCCAGGAAATACATGGTGAAGCGTGAGGAACAACAGAAGCAACAAAACTTGAATATAATCAGTGTCCCTGAACCACCCATGTAGAATCTGGTGACCTCGGGTACATTTCGCTGTGTATATTCTCAAAATAATGGAAGTAAATAAAAAAAGAACTGGAAAGAAAGAACACTGCCAATATTCAGAGATGAACAATAAGGGGAAATTGTGGAAAGGCCTTTGATGACAGAGTGAGGAAGTTCTCAGGATTAAAAGGAAAGCATCAATGAAGGAAAAAGGTGAGCTTGGAGCTACCCAGCCTGCAGGCACATACGCCCCTCTCACTTCTGCCCCCTCCCAACAGTTCTCAGAGGGCTCCCCTCGGGACCAGTGTGCTTGGCGATGCTCTCTCTTTACCTGTATCTCTCTTCAAGAACTCCAGCAAGGTCCGGATGGCAGCCACTGCTGAGGCCACATCTGGGTCTTCTTTCATCTGTGACTTAAAGTATCCAATTAACTCTGGCAAGGGAGGATAAAAAAAAAGGTGGGGGGAGATGCATCAAACTCATTCTGGAGGCTGTAAGGCCAGAGGGTTATTAACGATCATTAACCTAAGTGGTGCGCTGGTGCAGAGCTGAGTGCTCAAAGTCAAGAGCTAGTATTTCAGACTCAGCCAGCGGCTCCGTGAAGAAAGCCTGCCCATCTACTTCTGTGTGGAGGACACCTTAGGAAGCCCTCTGGAGCAATTCAGTTCTGTCACAATGTCAGTGTGGATGGACATCCACTTGAGGCATCCAACAGCAATCACCTTAGGAAATAAAACAATACTTTCTTTCCAAGGTTTTGGCTAAAAGCAAACTTTGGAGGACAGAAGGTATGAAAATGGAAACAGAAAGGCTCCTCTACGGCTTGCAGCCTTTCCTCCCTGTCCACGTTCAGTGGTGTAAAACGTAAGCGCTGATCATATTGCAAAACATCATTCTCTCTTCTATGCTTGACCCCCAATCTGGTGAGGACTGTGGGTCAACTATAATTGTCTGTTTTCTCTTCTATTCTTCTAGAAACAATCAAACATACATATATACATAGGTAGGCAGCCACTGGGTTACATAGGTGCTGTTTGCAACTTGTAGTTACAAAGTAACCCTTGTACAACCTATATTAAAAAGTGTATCTATCTATCCAACAGATCCTAATTAGATAATAGGTGCTACTTTTTGGATTTGCATCAAATACATTAGCATTGTACTATTACGTTAAAGATGATTTGGTGTATACGGAAATATTTCTTTAATGTCTTTTCTGTATATGCAAGGGTATAATATAAACAAAAAAATCAGACTAAGAAATGACAGCCATGAACTGTAACTGATGTAAATTAATGGCCGATTTAGGAATCGCACTCCTTCGTAATCCGAGGACTGTCTCTATACACGAGTATGCAGGATTCCACCACTAATTCTTTGTTTTTAACATGAAATGAGCTATGTATTTGAGCGTGCTATTTGTTTTCACTTAATAAACCATCTCGAAAAACATTACAGGAGTACACTGCATGAACTATGCTACACTCAGATCGGGCGTAAGAAGTGAACCGCTCGCTTCAGGCCCAGCAGCCCCGCTCCGCCCGCTTTACCCTTGTCGTCCATGGTGCGCTGTGGACTGAGGGCCCGAGAAGCCCAGAGCAGCCTGCGATGTCCCGGTGGATGGTTGCAAAGTGTGGGCTGCGAGTCACCAAGACGCACAGCGCCCGGTGCGCTTAAACACCCCACTTCCGGCGCCTAAGGGCGGGACTTCCTGTATGATGCCGCTACATCACTAGGTGGTGCCGGAAGTTGGCGCGCGCAGACAGCTCTCTCTCGCTTGACTAGCGCCTCTTGCTCGCCCACACTCCACTTCCGGCGCACAGGGGCGGGATCTCCGGTACGGCGCGCCGCCCGGGCCCCACCAGCCCTACGTCATTAGGTGGCGCCGGAAGTGGTCTTGAGCGGCTTGAGCTCTCGCTAGACTGCGGGTACTGTCTCTCGCTGCGGAAGGTTCTGTGGTCGCCATGGTCTCTGACGGTGAGCATTGAGCCGAGCTGTCAGCTCAGGACCGGTCAGATGGAGTGTAGCTTTGGGGCTGGGGAGGATGACCCTCAGGAGCCCTGGTGCGTTAGGTGTTGCACCGCTGCACCCAGGTCGGCGGTTCCGCAGGACAAAGCTAGGCATTCAGTCACCTGTGCAGGTTTACAGCCTCAGAAACCCGATGAAGGGCCTTTTGTATTTTGCGTGCTTGTTTTTTTATTTTGCTTTGAAGAATGTATTTGGTCTTTAGAGGAGTAGAGAATTGCTTCATTCATTCATTCATTCGTTCTCTGAGTAAATATTGACTACCTGCTGCGTGCCAGACATTATTTTATATGCTCTGCATACAGAAGGGAGCATGATCCCAGCTCTCAGGGTGCTGTACTCTAGTGAACGAAATAGGCAATAAATAAGTAAATGCAAAGGTTTTCAAGAAAATATTGTGTGGTAGATTGTACCTAGCTGGTGAGCCAACAGGAACTAGTCCAGGGAGGATTGATGTTTAAACAAGACTTGGTAACTCTACTGCGAAGTTACTGGGGTGGGGGGAGTGAGTGTATCGTAGTTTCAAAGGGCCTGTTGAAGGTTGAACCACCAAGTTACACAGCGAAGACAGAAGGGAGAAACCTAGTGATAGTGGTGGGTTGGGACTGGTTATGGAAACAGGTGTCTCCAAGATTAACACACGCCCCTTAAAGTGATTTTCAGGAAAGTTCACAAAACAGTGTTTTTTCATTCAATCCTTTTGTACTCCTTTTGTTTAATAACTTTAATACCTTCAGTACCCTTTACCCAGTTTCAGTCCTATCCCCTCTTTCCTTCAGGGCTTTATCCTTGTGCAGATGCTGCCCTTTGCTCAATGTGGCTGGCTAGTCCAAGGACTCATCCCCTCCCTGGTGTGGTTGATCATGTTACAGGCTTGTATGTGTGGACTGATCACAGCACCAGGGGGATGAGTTTTGGTTAATGACTATAGTCTTGAAGGTTTTATCAGTGATCATTTTGGCTACTGTGTAAATGAACAGTGGGAGCAAGAGAACCTTCGTGAAGCTGTAAAAGTTGCCCACGCTTCTCTAAACTTGTCCCTGTGGACAGAGGAGGAACTGGAAGCTTGTAGCTCAAGCTACAGATTAAAGCAAAGAAGTGACATCTGACTTATTTATCTGGGGGGAGAGTTTATTTTATAAAGTCTTTTCAAGGACAGTTACACAGACATTTCAGATGTGCCAATCATAGAGCTTTCCACACAAGCTTCTGTGCTTTTTCTCAGCATCTTTGTAGTGGCTCATGAACCAGCCAGTGGTCCTCATATTTGTGAGGTGAGGCTTGATCAGATATAAGGCTAAAGATGAGGGCGTGTGGCTGGAGGAGAGAGCCCCTGTGGGTCGGCAGTTCAGTACTGCTTCTAGGCACTTAACTGCTTTTAATCTTAAAAAGAAATGACCTTTCTAATTGTAGTTTCTAGTTGCAGGTTGATAAGACACATAAAGGCATATATTGGTGCTTGCTCTGGATATGTTGTACTACTAATTGGGAATGTTAGCCTTGATTTGCTTTTATAAGCTCTAAGTTAGTTCTTTCTGTGTTGTTCCTAATTTCAGAAGATGAATTGAATCTTCTCGTCATCATAGTTGATACCAACCCCATTTGGTGGGGAAAGCAAGCCCTGAAGGAGTCTCAGGTAAGAGAGCTTCAGGAAGCTTCTGGAGAGTTCCAGTTCCAATATGCTTATGTTGTTTTAGAGAAGGAACGTTCTATTAAGGTGTGCTTCACGTGCTATAAAACCCACCCATGATACATGCACATGAGGATACCCAACTCCCTGATAGAGTTTTTTCTAGTACATTGATGCAGTTATATGGTTAAGACTTTTTTTTTATCTTTCTGTTCTTTTTTCTAAATAACCTGTACCCACGCACATCATGTCCTCAGTCACTTCTGACTTCCTGGAACCTTCCAGTAGGTTTTTTGACGTTGTAAATGTTTACCACAAGGGATTGCCCATCTTTCTCTCTAGGAGGTGATGGTGGCTTTGAATTGCTGACCATTTGGTTGATAGGCCAGCACATTATCCACTCTGCTACCAGGGCTCCTTATATAATGTGAGTTGCTAGGTGCCCTTGTGTCGACTGCGACTCATAGTTACTCTGTGAACAGCAGCTCTAGACCTCTCCCTCGTCATCTCTGATACGCTTTCTGTTACAGTCACTGGATCTGTCCCTCTTACTGTCTTCTGTCTATCTCAGGTCCTCTTTCTTTCCTCGCATGATGTCCCCTTCCAGGGACTGACCCCTTCTAATAACATACAATGTGTGAGACCTAGTTTCACCCTCCTGGCCTCTAAAGAGCGTCTTGGTTGCACTTCCTATCGAATACTTGGAATTTTTTTTCCAGCTTGTGTTTTTCTTTTTTGATAATTTTAATAAACATTTACAGAGAATTTGGATTTCCATTCATTCATTGCTGCACTTCTCTACCCTCCCAACCCTCTCCCCTCGCCCCCCAGTTCACTCCTCTCTTTCAAAAGTAGAAGAAAGACTCCCTCCCTGGTACACAATCCCCCCGCACCCCTCCCACCGCCCCAAGTACATTCCCCTATGCAACCTTAATTGTGGACTCTTATGATAACCGTAATACCCCATCATACATAGCTTTTAAATTATTCAGTCCCTCATCTGTTTCAGTGCAGTATGTGTTTTTCAAAGAGACTGTTTGGAATTGGTGTTAAATCTCCAGACTGAGACAGTTCACTGCAGAATTCTCTGAATCTTTCAAAGAAATGACACCAATTCTACATGCCCCTTCTAGAAAACAGAAGAGGACGGAGCACTTTCAACTCATTTTCTGAGGACAGTGTTGTCTTTTAATAAAACCAGACAGAAACAAAAAAGAAAAGTTAACAAAAAAGAAAATTTGTATGAACATAGATACCAAAAATCCTACCCGAGTCAAATTAAAAAATACACACAAAGAATCATGTGTCACATCCGAAAGAAAACTATATGAAACTCATCACTGTCAAGTCAGTTCCTCAGTCGCAGGGCCCAGTAGGACCGAGTGGACCGAGCCTGCCGGGTCCCGAAGGCTGTCCTCATTAGGGCAGCAAATCACTGCCTCCTCTTCTGGAGTAGTGAGTAGGTTTGAACTGCTGACCTTGTAGTTAGCGTTGGACCACTTAACCACCAGTCCTCCAAAACAAACAGCAGGTGTAGAAGGGAACGTCTTCAGTTTGGTGAGAAGCCTCTCTACATTGTGTTAGAGGAGAGAATCGGGAGGGAGGGAGTGCGTGAAAGTTTATAAATCAGGAATAGAATCCCCCAATAACAGTTTTCTGGGGAGTCATAGTGTGCTAGTCATTTCTGTGTGGAAGACACAGCACATTGTCTCTGCTGTCCAAAAAATACTGTTGCTGGATTATGTTGGTGTAGAAATGATCCCATAGACTAATTGAGTGGCTGCTGTTTTGGCCGAGAGTTCTGGAGGAGCCACACTCCTGAGCGCATTTTTGGGAGTAAATAAACATC